GGCCATAACGGGGTCTTCCACAACCCAACCCCGGACAATACCTACAGGGGATTATACCAAGCGTACCAAAAGGTAAATTGCTCATGACCCAAATTTGAAGATTTTTACTCGCATAGCCCCAATCATTCGGTGAGACTTGAGCGCTGTTCAACTTACTCATCTCCGCCAATTTCTATAATTTTTTCCCATGCAATAAGTCCAAAAATCGAAACAGTGCCAGAAATTGAGTTCCTTTAGTTGGTTGAGCTGTTCTCCATCAATGGCAAAAATGAGGCTGTCCATGTCCCGCTCGGATCATTTCTCACTGCTAGATGCAGCCAAAATCAAAGGGCGACAAAAAAAATAAACGGAACTCGAATTGTTTTTATTTATTTTTTACTTGCAGAATCCTAAATGATGGGACTATATGCAATTGAAAAATTTCTTTGGAGTTTTTGAAACTCTGTTGAATTTATGTCAAAAAGTCTCAAAACTTATGAAACAACCCTAGTACAGTATATTGGCTCCTGTATGTCTACAATATACACTGATGAACAGCTCTGTTGAAGATTTTTTTTTCTTTTAAAGTGTGATTTTACTCCAGCTGCTGGCAAAAGCATTTTTCCTGGTCATGATGATGGATGATGTGCTGAGAAGAGGGTCTTGTAATAAATTTTACCAGTCAATAATGATGACAATCAACACTTGGGAAATGTTTTACACACCTTTCCCGGGCTACAATATACTTCTCAAATAATAAAGGTTTTATGGTGAGTAATTGTTTCAGAAAACATGTGTTTCCTGGAAGGATGTTGATCTTTAATTTCCATGCTTTGAGGTTTCTGTGTTTGTGCCTTTTTCTTCTTTTTTGTTGATTTTGTCTTTGTCAGCAAAGGTTTAAAAAATAATAGTTGGGGAAACAATTTTTGTCAGAGAAATACCAAAGAATTACAGGAAATTTTAATGAATGATTTTCTAGGCCTCAAGTTGTTTCTTGAATAAATTGACAGCATGCTGAACTTGGTATAGCAAGGGTTCATTAGCCCAATTAATCTTTCACTCCCTTTCAAAACACATGAAAATTTAATTTTTTTCCTTTATTTCCAAGGTTAATTATTGGTCAAAAAGCTGCAGAAAATTTGAGTCAGGCAGGTTTGAGGGGGACAACTTTCCAGCTAGGGAGGTTTTCAATGCACCGTTTCACTTGGAATTCAGATTGAAACCTGCAAAAATTCAACTTTGGAAGATTTGAGTTCTGTATTACCCCAGTGAGCAAGAAGTAGTCCGCTGCCCCCCAAAATGCATCCAAATTGTGCATTGTGTCCTAAACACATCCACATTATGTTGGAATTTATCCTACATCAGTCCTCATATGTCCACAGTCCTCCAACCCTGCTGTAGATTTTTTGAATATCCGTGGACTTGTAGTCCCCACACATCCAAAAAGTAGTGCCAAAGATTGGGCTTCTGGGGACTCCCAAGTCGGTGTGAGTCTGCACAAGTTGGATCTGTGGCTGGCACACACAGAGCAGCTATGTTTGCCCAGATCCAACACAACAGTTATAATCTTATGAACCTTTGTAGACATCAATGGCAATGAAATTTTTGTAGCTGGTTGTATAAGGTGCTTGATTCTTGTGCAGGAGGTAGACGGTTCAATTCTCGTCTGGATTTTTGTGTTTCTTGGATGTGGATTATGTGTGTTGATGTCATATTTCAGTGATGATTCATGTGTCAAGTATACTTGCGCAGAGTGGATACTTCGAAAAGACTTGAGGTAACCTAGCTTGAATGACTGACAGGTAAATTACCGTCCAGTGATGGATTTTGCTAAAAAAAAAAAAAAAAAGACAACAAAAAGTAGTCTGCTGTCATTGGAAACTACTCCAAAGTAGTCCAAATTGAGCAAAATTGTTGGACTAACTTCGGAATAATTTTTGATTAAAATTGGAATACTCTTGGATGCCTTTTTGATGTAAACAGACGAATGCTTGCTCACTGGGACACTTGAAGCTCACTGAATAAGTCAAATGCAGGTACTGTAGTACCTGCCAATATGACCGTCATGCAATTTTATGGTTCAATTTGCTGGAAGGTTGACTCTGAATTTGACCTCAGCCTTGCAATTTGACCAGTGGAGAGAGACATGAAACATCAAATGCCATGTAGAAAACATGCAATTTGACTGCTTTGCATTTCAACCCTATGGTCCAGCAATGGATTAGGGTCAAAGTGCATGGTACCACCTGTACCTGCCTAAGTATAATTTTTATTTAATCTCTGTTGAAATCCCCTTAAAGAGGTTTTTCAATGCATTGTTCATAACTTGAAGACTTTTTCTCTCCACCCTCCCTCCCTTGAATTTTCTCAGTCCTTTTTTTGCTATTTTTTTTTTTTGTCACAGGAAAGATAAAATCTATTGAAAATCGAACTCAATGCGTTTCAAAATGAAGTGAAAAAGTAATTAGGCAAATGAACCCTTGCAATAATTTGGACAATCTTGCCTATTAAAATTTCTGGAAATCCTACCAACTTTCCCACAACAAAAACTCATGCTTCCCCAACTCCAAACCTCCCGAAGTGGAATTTGTTTGCTGGTCCCTGATATTTGACTTGTAGAGGTTCCATCACTGGTATCTCGGTTTATCGCAAATCTCAGTCCTTTCACCAGCACTATGGGATGGATAATTCATCTGATGCCCTTGTTCTTGTATGTTTCCAGCTCCACTTGCCTGTCTCGCCGGAACTGCTCCTGAAAGTGCTTCTCGGCAGCGTGCGGCAGAAGGATTGTCCTCCCAAGTCGGAGCTGTTCCCGCGAATAGAAAAGCTGATCTGGGCCGGGCGGCTCAAGAAGCAGGGCTTCGAGGACGACATGTACGAATGAGGAATCGTTTCAACAAGAATAACTGGGTCTGCTGGCCATCAGCCTCCTGGATGGATGAGGAAGAAATGCCTGTTGTTACCGAGACGGAACGCTGCGTTTGATTTTGCTAAGAAAACGAACAAGTATTGTATTGTGTGCGAGTGCGGCGGGAGGAGGAGGTCGATTCTCGGAAATGTGATATCTATTTCTGATACCTGTTCATGATCACAATTGGGAAATCTCGCGTCAAAATATACATACAGTATATATTTTTATCAACTGTTATCTACTGTGTCACTTTCTGTTGCTTCTTTTCCTGAGGAAAAAACAAAACCGAACGATGGATTGTGGGGAAAAAGGCGCTAAAGCATTTTTATTCCCTCCGGAGTTTATGATTTGGCGGGAAGGGTTGAAAAATATGGAGGTTATAAAATGGTACGTGACGGATAGAAAACTGATTAAACCGGGCAAGTACTGTATACTGCTTCACTCAGAAGAAAGTAAAAGACGTTTCGTGGATTAAGATATAAATGTGTTTCGTCAGGCAAAAACATTGTTGTGTTCAATTTATGAGGCAGATCAGATGCGAAATAAAGTCGATAAAACAAGAGGATTGATAAAGAGAAAGAAATTTGTTAATCATGCAATTATGAGGATGTTTGAGGAGCAGGAGGCGCTCCCATAAATTCAGCAACTGCCATCTTCTATTCCTTTCTTTTCCAGCTGTGACATCTTTATGATTTATTTTATTAGTTCCACATTTGGCACATTCCTGATCATTTCAGATGTGTTTGTCTTCTTAGGTGACATTCTCCACTTTTTTATCTAGCCTTCTTGAAATGAACCTATAAAAATTAGCCTTTTGTCAAGCCAAAAGTTGAGAATAGTGTTTTTCAACAGTTTCTTGAGGAACATACAGGTAAAAATTTTGTAACTTTGGACAATATTGAGCATTGAAATTTTAGCATTTATTAAGAAAATTAAATTGGGCAAAAAGAGGGAAGAAAATTCCTTCCCTCTTGAGAATCTCTATGCCTGAGGTAATTTTTTAAATTATCTAAATGGACAGGGAAAAATACACAGGTAACAATGTTGTAACTCTGAACAATATTGAGCATTGAAATTTTAGCATTTATTGTAAAAATTAAATTGGTCAAAATGAGGGAAGAAAATCCCTTCCCTCTTGAGAATCTCTATGCCTGAGGTAATTTTTTTAATTATCTAAATGGATGGGAAAATGAACAGATTTCCCAAAAAATGTTTGTTACATAGATCTTACCATCATATGGTTCTCAATACCTGTTTCTTATAATTTGGACTATTTTAATGTCTGCAGGTTGAGTCAGTGTCTGCATGCTATGGGCCTTTTTTAATTGGAAAGAAAGTGTCCCAAATTAAGTTGAATTGTCCGCAGGTCAAGGTGTCTGCATGTGGGAGTCTTACTGTATTTCTACTTCTTGGGTATGCATGCTTCATGTGGCCATATGCATACAATTTGTGCATTATCATGATACAGTACTGTAATTGAAAGTTTTAAATTAAATATTGCCATAGTGCACAATAAGGATAGAAGTGTTTGATGAAATTTATTAGTTAAATTAATAAATGGATAAATAATTCATTTATAAATTGAATTTAATTGAAAAATTTTTTATTGGAATTTCTGGGCTAAATTACTTTTAATTCCTCATAATTCACAATACATTACATGAAAGGCATTATGCATTATTTGTAGGATCTCATCCATGATTCATAATCGGAGCATATAATTCCTCCTTACTTTGACAACTTTTTTGGAGGTATGACTTTCTCTGATATTCATTGCAATCATATATATGCTCCTCAAAAATTTAAAAAAATTCATTTCCGAAGCAACTGAAATGAACTTATGTTTGAAAGTTATTCACTTCACAGCTATATTTTACCATTTTTTACTGATGGTTGAGTGATAACAGCTTCATTTATTTTCTTATCCACCTTCTGAAAAAAATTGTTCTAAGAAAATTTTCTCTCCATATACATGCTGTTCCAAATTATAAAAAATGGCTCATATCAATTACAGTATAACCATTTTAAATATTTAGGAAAAAACGTCAGGTCTCTCTCTTCAAGTTTGGCCGCAAAAACAACAGGGTCTTTTAAATTAAATGAACATAATATTTCACAGACCTGACTTCACCAATTCCTGATGACCTCATAAGCATGGTCAGTGATGACAGGATGAGGTTTATTTGGCACAGGGATGGGCAAAGCACTAGGTATGATTTAACTTCTCATCCTTATGTTGAGCAGCTCACATGTGAGCTCCGGTGAGAAGTCCGTCCACCTGCTACTTGGCTGGCAAGGTTTCCCTACTTTTGGGTCATTAGTGTGTCCTCTGACAATCCACACAAAGCCCAGCAGCGCGAGTGACACCTGAAGAATGATAGGTGTCGCTCAATGTCACCATGCACCTTGACAACGTAAACATTCATTCTCCAACTCACCAAGATTGAGTTCATGACTTTCAAGGCTGCCAGCAGCAGCAGTTAATTTTTTTTTTTTCAAGTGTTTCACTTCAGTTTAATTGAAACACCATGATTTTTCTAGCTGGGTCTTTTTCTCTCACAAAACTGGTTACTATGTATATATAGAGTCAGAGTTGAACCAGAATAAATAAATATATTTTTCTCTCTCTTTCTTCTTGGGGAATCACCTGGTCAGAGATTTGGTGTAGGTGAGAAGCCTGTCTGAGGCCTGGGCTGTGAAAGGAACAGGGTTAATAGGGCTGGTCGCAGCCCCTGACTGGGGGCTGCCCAAAAGTTCTGGAGTCTTTCTTGGAAAATATTGTTATAAAGTCAGTTTTATTTCTTCCTAAATATTTTTTCATGTGGGATTTAAAAGGATTGCTGATGTACAAGTTGTTTCAATAAATAAATGATAAGATTATTGTATTCCCCCATTCTTCATTCACAAAAACTCCTGAAATCTTGCAAAGCAAATTTCATTTCCTCCAAAAAACGTATTCTTCATGTGTGATCTGGAATAATTGCTGTAAAAGTTTTTTGAAGAAATCATGTACAAAATTATTGTATCCCCCTTTTCAAATCCTAAAATTAGACAGTGGGTATAATTCTTCTTTTGCCAAAGTTTCTGAAATCTTTCTTGAAATAACTAATTGCAAAGTCAATTGTATTTCCTCCTAGAAGTTTATTGTTCATATGATGATCCCAAATAATTACTGTACAAGCAGTTTGAAGGAATACTTTAGTGGATGAGATTACAGTACTGTAACCCCCCTTTCAAACACAAAAAGTAGACATTGGGTTATTATTCATCTTTCACTGAATTTCTGAAATCTTTTTTTGAATACGTTATTGCAAAGTCAATTTTATATCCTCATAATACTGAAATTTAAATCTTTGCTCCAACATAATGTTCTGATAATTTTGAAAGTTTTGATTTAAAGAAAAAATTGGCAGAATCATTCCTTTTCCAAACCAAAAAGTATTCATGGTCTTTTTCTTTCATCAACAATTTTATTGTAAATACTCTTGAAAATTTTGATTGCATTGCCAATTTTGTCCTCCCAAAATAGAATGATTTGCAGGCGAAATCGGAGCATTTTTGTAGTGCTTTCATGGATTTTGATTCGAAGAATTCATGGATTGCATCATTTCTTTTTGTCTAACAAAAAATTAGGCATGAGCTTTTTTTGTGAATGGTGAAAACATAAATGAGTTGAAACATGCAGGATTTGTCTGCAAATTGTATTGCAGCACTTGATTGCCCAGTTTTCCAAAGTAAAGTACTGTATAATGAAAAATTAACTATAGTGATGCAGAATTAAAGCAAAGAATTTTTATCCTCAATCAGCATGAGAAGCTTCAACTCATGCCATCAAAGCATCCCAACGAAAACACAGAGTTTAAAAGCTCCAGTATACTGTATTTAGAATAGAGATGCTTCTATTACCCTCCAGGAAAAAATCGCAAGCATACTCAATTTTCTCTCTGCCAAGAAAAGCCAAGAACTCACTTAGCCTGAAATATAACCCCTCTTGTCTTCTCATCTTTTCAAATATTTTTGGTATCATTATATTGATTTATGGATGTGATATGCAATATTTTGTATTTCTTCTTATTTATATTTAATCCATTTATAGTATACTGTATTCAGTTCATAGTTTTCATTCATATATACTGTACAGTGTGTATTTTATATATTCACATATAAATTTGTCTATTTATCATTCATTCATAGAATTGTTTGGGAGTCAATCATTCATAATGTTGATGTTATATACCTATTCAGCTGGGTATTATATTCACGTTACATTCCTTGGTACATTAATTTATGCATTATGCACACACCTATGTATATTAAGGTTTCTTGTTGCTTTATTTATTTGTACGTATGTATATACTTTACATTATTTATTCATATATATACAGTACAGTATATTTTTTTTATTGAACAGCAAGCTTTATTTTCTGCTTTTCAGCATTCACTTACAAAGATTCAAACAACATTCCCACATCCAAACCCTCTTCCTTCCCCACCCACATTCATCCAAACACATTCCATCACATCAAAATGGAACACTATAAAAAATAAGATGTATATGCTGCTGGATATTGAAAGAAAATAAAATACATCCCAAAATGTACAATTACATAACTGACGTATAAATACAGGTGACCCTCAGCAACTCAAACCTCCATAAGTTGAAAACCCTCCTATGTCAAATTGTTTTCAGATCCCCTCCAAATCCCCTTATGGGAACAACACATAAAAAACCTCCCAAAGTTGAAGGCTTTTCCCCTCAAACCTCTGTAAGTCAAATTCCTGTGACCTGATGGCTATTATGATTTTCTTGACACAAGAAAAATGAATACAGTACAATTAAAAATTGATGCGTCTTGAAGTTTTTTGTAATGATCATTACAAACAAAACTTGCAGTGTTTACATTATTAGAATGCACAGTGAGAGGCTCCACAAAAAAGCAAAGAGAAATAACATTCAGCAACTTATTGGAAATCTCTTGATCCAAAATGCTTATAGAAACTAGATAGAGAAATGGACAATCTAGAAAATATATATTGAAAGGGTCAATTTTTTAGATTGAAAACTATGGCAAGAATGCAGGATAAAGACACATATTCCCAACACAAGATACACAGGGATACCTTAAAGAATAACAAAATCAGTTTGCCACACTCCTGCTCCTTGAAGTCCTCATAGAAAATATTGCTTGGACAAGATCCCCTTGGCCTGGTGCACAATAGAAAATTGCATGGGGAGGGGAGATCTTCCTGTTTCCCAGGATGCAAGGTGAAAAATATTTTGTATGGGAGGGGGGGGGGGATAAGGAGGCACAGCAGGAAATGGATTAAATAAAATTAATTTTTCAATCACAATTATTAATAAATCACTGATGTTTCAGAAATAAAATATCATAGTATTTTAAGCACAAAAAAATCACTTCAGAAGATTTTAATTGAGGCCACTAATATAGCACAGGCTTTTGAAGTGTGAACGGGAGTGACACAATTTATGCCACTATACCAGCAGCAGTGGCATGAGTGGAATTTCATTTCTTAATTCAATTTTCTCCTCCCCATGATTTGTTGTTGCTGCCTCTTCCTGTTTTTGGTAATTGGTCTTAATATCTTTTGTAATGCAGGAATGATTGTGGGCTCTCAACTGATTTTTATGTCCCAGATCTGCATGGTTTCATGGTCAAGGGTTTTTATGTGCCATGTCACCCATGTGCTGGCATTTATTTATTGATGCCTAATTTTTAAAATCCGAAGTACTTTTCTCTTTTCTGCTTTTGCAAATTTTTCATATTCTCTCAAAAGTTTGAATTCTCCAGCTCAGGAATTGTAAATTTAAATTCCCCAGCTTGAGGAATTTCATTTTTGAATTCTCTGGGCGACCAGCATTTGCCTGGTGGGTCTAACGCTATAGCATAAATTGCACCCACCTTAATGGGGCCCTGGGAGAGATAGTTGTTCACTGTTTTTGCAACAAGGTCCTGCCTTTTGGGCTCTGGAGATGCCTACTCTATATATCTCTCGCTACACCAACCTTCAGAGTGAATAGTGGACAATTTATTGAATGCGGTGATGTGTGACAATGCTTGTGAATACAGTATTTGATCTGTATGTACTTGGATTCATTCATTGTCAGAAAATAATTCCAGAAAAGTTCAGGTGTAATCCGTCATAGTCGTCTTTCAAGCAGATGATGCATAAGTAATAATTCGCGCGGCAGCCGTACTTATCTAGTCAATCATGGTTTGTTGGAAAGAGGTGAAGGACAGAATCGGCTTGCTCATCTTCCAGTATGAAGTCTGCACTTCGATTGCTGTGATGGATTTCAGGGAAAAGTGCATCGTCCGTATCCTTTTCATGAAAGTCTTCTTACAAATAGCTTTGTTTTGGGGATAGTTATGTTCCTTGACTTGAGGAAAATGCCGAATTCTAGATACCCTACTAGTTGCCTTGATGAGCATGATCACGTATTCTTGCTACGTCTACCTTCCAAGATGTGCGTGGCGCGTCCTTATTGTCTGTGGTCTTCTTACGCCGCCAGCGAATGAAGAAATCGAGAAGATTTTCAATCCCGGCAGTGACTTCCTATTGGACTCTTGACACTCTTCGAAGTAATCGCGGTGAATGAGTTTTTTTGAGTATTTGTCACTCGTGCTTGTGAGAGCATTTGATCTGTGTAAGTGAGCTACTTGCACTAGTTCATTCATTTTCTTCTCATTTCCGTTGATCATCAGATGTTCTTTCGATGTATCGCAGATGTAATTGTGATTGCCCTACCGGGCTTCGTTGTGGTGTTCGTTGAGTTGATTTTTGCCGAGTGAGCATGCTTTTGAAGAAGAACAAAGATTTCCGAAGAAGTGATGATGGAGTTGTCGGGAAGTATATTAAGAAAGATGCACCCCGTGACGTACCAAGTATGTGATAACTGTTGGAAAACAATACGTCAGGAAGATGTTATGCATTGAAAATGAATTTCATCAGGAATTCTTGAAAATGATCGCCGAATGCTTCCGTCAGTCAACCCGCTGCTGAATGGACAGTTGCCAGTTACTCATCTTGAGGGGCAAAATGAGCTGAGGTGGTCTGTTATTTCCAATATGTTTGAACGTGCGAAGTCAATATATTTCTGGGATTACAGGAATGCGTACCATCCGGAACAAGTTCGAAGTTTTAACAGTCCCCGACAAGGGCTCGTGTCGACGCCATCCAGCCGATTAAAATTGTGTCCGTCTCCGACGTCGATGGTGATCTGTTCTGCTGCAGTTCAAAACGATGTAAATCTACTTTTCTTCCTAGTGTGAAGGGCAAAAATCAATTAATGCGTCGCTTTTTGCGTAATCAATAATAGAGAACAAATTCTGGAATATCGCAGAACTTTTTGCGCTCCGAGTCGCATTATGAACTACATCGTCGGTCCTCTCGAGACCGGAGTGGCATCGCAGTTTCTATGACGAACTTGGGCTGTCCGCGAGGCTTGGGTTCGACGCAATCGCTTGCCGTGGCACGTCCACAACGTCGATCATCTCCAGATGTTCATCCTTGCCTGCTGAATTCTCAGTCTCCCGTTTTGGCATCTGTCGAACGCTTGAATAGTGAGAATAATCCGCGTGATCTGCCGAGTTTTCTGGAAAACTCCCCGACAATGCTGATGGCCGGAATCTGCTTGATCTTGAATGTATTTTCATTTCGATTTGAAGATTTGGTTGCTTCGGTGCCCGATGAGCTCCCGTTGCCGCTTGGGTGGAGTGTGGATTACACGCTTCGAGGAAGAAAGTATTTCATTGATCACAATACGAAAACCACTCATTGGTCTCATCCCTTGGCGAAAGAAGGTCTTCCCTCGTGTTGGGAACGAATTTGCCATCCTGAGTATGGGATCTACTATGTTAAGTGAGTCTCTGCGGCTTAATTGAGGATTTGTTGCCTTTTATGTTTCTTGAGACTTCAAGATTTTATCATGTAAATTTTTCGGAGTGTGAGTGCATTGATTTTGGAATCCCTGCAAGAAATCAGTGACGCAGCAATCAACCTTGAGGCTTATGTGAAATAAATTTAACTCAAGGCATGCGATTTTGTGGTTGTTCCATCATGAAACTGTAGTGAAGGAATATTTTACTCCACCAGATTTCCTGAGCATCTTTGAGGTAGTGCTTCTTGTGTATTCTACACTTGTATCAATCGAAAGGTCTAATTCACATTGAGGGTGTCATTTTTAACAAGGAAGCATCGAATCGATGCAATTCCGTCGAGAAATATGTGTCGGATTTAATCAATGGTTGATCATGACATGTCTTTTTGTAGCCATGTTACAAAGCAAGCGCAATTCGAGCATCCATTGGCGTATCAGTACCCAAATTTGAGGTTGGAACCTCGGCTGGTCGACACAGAAAGCAAATTGCCGGTTCCTGTTGCTCCGATCAATTCCCAGCAGCTTCTCGTTCCTGCTAACCCGTATCTCGTGCAGGAAATTCCTCTGTGGCTCCGTGTATACATGAAGGTAAGTCATGAATATTAGTAGCGATGTGTATACTACTACTCTGCAACGCTCTCATCCGTGCGAATAAGTGATACATTTTTGTGGAAGCCATTGCGTGAAATTACCGGATCCAGTTTAGAGTTCTGCGGAAAGACGTTTATTTTGTGTGACCTGCAGGCGTCGCCCGAGCACGATCACAAGCTACGTTGGGATTTATTCAAGTTACCGGAATTGGAGGCGTTTGAAGCAATGATGAGACGGATTACCATTCAAGAAACGGAAATCATCGTCAAGAACTACGAAGCTTATCGGTACGCTGTAATTGTCGTAATTTCTAAATTCTTCCTACTGCGAAGATTGATTTTTTGCGTCGTGTTCACCATTCAAGACACAGCCAAATTCTTCCTGCTTTCTTCAATTCCTTCATAGATTTGTCTGTCAAACCTACCCCCCTCCCCCCGACTTTGCCTACTGAACATCGTTTACCTGAAATTTCCCTGAGTTTTGTTCTACATGTTCCGTTTGTGCATTCGATTGCAGGGCTGCGTTGATCGCGGAAATGGAGGCGAAGGTGTGGAGAAGGAAGCAGTTGGCGCTTCCAGACCCTCGTATTGAGTTGATATTGAAGGAAGCCGTAGAAACCAAAGTTTGAAAAATGGTTTCAGTCGTGCGTTTGCATTCGGGCATCTAGTGTCGCTTGTAACTGCTTTAAAGTATTGTGAGCGTGGTTTTTTGCTTTTTTTGAGCTTCCAGGACGCCTTGCAGCTTCTGTGGTGACTGTGATTTTATTAAACCCTCCTTGTTTTACCTGCGGATCTCGCGGCTGCAACCCGCGAATAAAAAAGTGCATCGTTGGAATTTGATCGCTGGGTTTTTGTCAGTGTTTCTGTGATTCCATTTGTATATTTTTTGACGAAGTCAATTGAGGTTCTTGTTTGCTTTGCTGTGATGGCCAATTTATCTTCTTTGCTTCTATATCCGTGGTACTTGCAAGCGTTTGCTCAAGTCAAAGATTTTTTCGTTTCGTTCAAAAATCTGCCATAATCACTTGTCGGAGAATATGATGAAATGTCGCTCAGCTTGAAAACAAACGGTGCTATTGCTGACTCAGTTTTCACGTACGATTAAACCTATAGCGGCATATTTGAGGTGTAATCTAAGTTGAAGCTTGTTATTCTGAGCATTTCTTTAGAGGGAATCCCATTTGTTTATCGCTTTGAGAGGCTCTAATTGGTTCGTCATCAACATTTACAAATGGAAAGGAATGCTTCGCATTTTAACTAACATTTCACGGCTATTTTCTCAGCCACAGAGTCGATGTTGAAGAATGTGGTTATGAGTGAACACTGCGGTGATGGCGGTGAGTCCTGTGGAAAGTGCCGTTATAACTGTAGGTGGGGAATCCGCGATGAACGCGTTCCACCAGGTGAGTGATGTATTTTTTTTAAACATCATCGTATTTTGTACATCTCATTGTCTTGGAAAGTTTCTTGATTGTTTACACTTTAACCGCCCTGCGTCGAATTTTTTCCTGTCTCTACCTGAATTCGTTTAGAAGCAATCTAGTACTGTACGAGGAATTTGCTTGCTGTCCTGGGTTCGCACTTGAATACATTTTCGCCGGCCATCCCTTGCATCCTACCCTGTGGACTCCCTCCCATCCAGCCCCAGAGAGGATCTTCCCAATTCCCGTTTCCCACGGTTTTGACTTGAAAAATGTGTCAAACATTCATTATTGCACCGAATTTACTTTTTAAAACTGCGTTGTATGCGGTGTGATTTTTTTTTCACAATTACCTGTTCTAAACTTTGAAAATTTTTAAAAATTGACTGAACTACAATCAGAATTTTTTTTTTTCAAATTGTCCAAAAATTGGGGAAAAAGATTCAGTTTTTTGAATTGTAACTTACTTCTCGAAATTTTTCAAAGCAAAAAAAAATACACATAAGTATGTTGAACATCTGTGCACATACAACCCCACAAGAAATTTTAAAATTGAGCTCATATCTAAGAAACGAGAATGAGCTGAAGTGAAAAATGATAGCCCTCTTGATTATCCTGTTTCCCATTTTACTGACTTGACAAATTTGTCAAAAATTCAATTCTCAACCAAATGTCAAATTTTTAAAATTGTTGCATTCACGATGCCATTTCCCTGTTCACTGTTTTAAACATTGAAAAATGTTCAAAATTATGAGGATACAAACAAAAATGCAAAATGTTTTTGAAAATTGTACCAAAATTTGGAAAAGGTAAGTTTACTTTTTCAATTTCAATTGATGAAGTTTTCAAAATTTTCAAACTTGAAAATGCTGAACATCTATATCCACACAGCCCTGTGAAAACTTTTGAATTAAACAAGTACTGTATTGACAAAATGAGAACGAGTTGAATTTAAAAATGAGAGGTTTCTCAGAAGTCCAGTTCCCTAATTTCAGATGTTTACAAATCAGAAAACTTTGTGTATTGCGTGTAATTTCAATTTTTGGTCGTAAATGCACTGTAAAGCTTACTAATTTTTCTTCTTAATTTTTAAATAGCTTGGAAACTTACTGAGTTACAAAGAGAATAGAAAAAATTATTGAAAAATGTATGTAAAATTGAAGGAGAAAATGAAAAAAAAAACATTTCTAGTTGTCATTTGCAACTCATACAATTTTGAAAATTGTTTATAAAACGAAATACCTGAAATTGTTGAATATCAGTGGGCTCCCAGCATCCAAAATGGACTAAAAGTGAAACTACATTAATGGAAAAAGCATTTGAATGGATTCAAAATGAACACATAAAATTAAGCAGTAGCCTGTGAAACAATTCACTATCTTCTCTACTGCGGTGTTCCCCAACCCGTGGTCCGTGGACTGGCGCTGGTCTGCAGAAGTTTTTTACGGGTCTGCTTTCAGCATAATAAATGCATCAGAACTTGTTACTAAGTGTGTTTTTGTTATCTGATAGTTCGAAAAAACAGTGGCAGTTGAAATTATTGTATATGATTAAAATAAAAAATTGCTTTTCCCATAATAACATTCAAGAATAATTCTCACTTGCTGAAATAAATTATTTCCACTTTTCCTTCTGGGAAATCCTTTTTTAAGCCCAGCTTTCTAATTTAAAACATTGCACTATAGCTGCTCCACTGGTTCTTAATTTAATGTTTTGAATACAAGTTTGGTTTGGAGTACTGTACTTGATGGGATGTACTTCAATTTTATTTTTTGGCCATTTTGCAAAAAATTCCATGGAATTTTGCTGGTTAGCAGAAAATGTTACAGAAATATGCCGATCTGCCGAAAATTTGTGTGAGAATCTACCGGTGCGTGGGTCCAAAAATGTTGGGCAACACTGCTCTACTGTACCTGTGCTGTGAGCTTTCATGGGTAGGCTTTTGTTCAGAAAATACTCATACGTTGGGGTCCCTATGCTTGCTGGTCCTTGGGAGGAGGGAGTATTAAAGGATGGAAAGGAAGGGAGCACTACAAAAATATAAAATAAATGTTGCAAACTTAGGAAAGTGGCAAGCATCTTTATTATGACAGCAAGTACAACATTGAGCACAAGTACAACATTACATGTACAACCCAGTTTCAGTCATTCAATATTTTAAAATTCTTTAAATAATTTTCATCATGATGCCCAGGTGTCGCTGGGCACCCAAGCTTTAGATTATAACAAGTCATAAAGTCCCCCTGATCATGTGCCAGTTGTTGCACACTGGGCCACAACTGGCACATTGAGCACTACTACCAGATCACAGGTGGTCCCAAACCATGTTACCATCTTTAATCAATCAATTTTTATTTAATTCTCTGCATAAATTCATTATGATGCCCAGGTGAGACTGGGCACCCATAGCTTGCTCATTAAAAACTTACCTGACCCAAAGGCTTTCCGCCCTCAAACCCTCATCACTTGAATTTTCTGGAGGCGTTTTGACTTATTTTATTGGCACAGGAAAGAGAAAAACAAAATGAATGGAGCTAGATGTGTTTGCAAGGAAGTGGAAGACTCATTGGGCTATGGAACCCTTGCCTCCAATTTCAGCATCCTGTCAATTTCATTCTTAAAACAATTTAAGGTCCAGAATATCATCAATTGCGATTGCCCCTACTTCTTCTTCCTTTCCCTCAGCAATGAAGTTCGTTTCCCGTGACTCTAAACCCTTCGAACTCGATTTTTTTGGTGGTCACCTGAGGCTCGACTGTAATGATGATTTTCCGACTGCGTGTGCTGATCTAATTTTTAATCGCTGAAATGAGTGTTATCCTCTTGAAGAAACAGCTTGAACCGCATCATGTTCGAAAAGCGTGCCAAAAGGAATCCAGAATCTGTTTTCAGTTGTCAATACATGTACTATGAAATAAAAAAGCGCACTGTATATTTAGAGGGGGTAAAAGTTATCGTTGTGGGAACTGATGTCGTAGCGGAATTGTCGCTTGTATTGATGGCATTGCTTGAGGAAAAGTACGATTTTCGAACTGATATCTCTTGAATTGGCAGAGTGATTATTTATTGAAAAGGTGATGTAATGAAATTCACCACCGTTGAGAAAATATCGCCGCCTACAGTCCCATCTTCGTGTTTTCGTGTCCATATAAGCAGGATTTAAAAAAAATCTCGCTCGTTGTTCGTGATGTTCGTCTTCTATTGTCATGAATCGTTCTTTTTTTTCGAGAAGGCTGAAGCTCTGTTGGGTTGTGCAAAATGTTGGAAAAAATGGCTCGTTAGACTGAAGAAAACGTGTTTTCGTTGCAGCTACGTTTGCGGCACTTATCCGTGATCGGTGGAGTGAACTTGAACCCAGGAGCAGAGAATGGGCGAATTGGTAGCGATTACATGGATGAAGGCACTTATTATTTGAGCCTCCATCTTCCGAGTGACGACGAGGAGTCGAAACCGGAGTGGAAGTCTAGTCCCAAAGCCGGTCCGGTTCCTATCTGGTCTTTGAAGGAGTCTGATTTTGATGATAACCTCCTCGCAACTGATGGTGAGACACGGGGGATCTGTTTTTTGAAAATTTTCTTTTGAGATTTTTTAAAAACAAGTGATTTGGGAGTTGAATTTGGATGTTCTTGAAAATCGAAGGAGGAAAGACCCACATTCTGGAGGTCGTGGGGAGCTGGATGTGGAGGCTGACAGGGAAGGAATTATTGGTTGAAAACTTGAAATACCCCAAACAATCCTGCAATTTGTTCAGCCCTTTGAAAATATTAAAATCATATGTTAGATGATGCGTGATAAATTTTTGCTTGTTTGTTGGTGATGTTCTTTTTGCATTTAACGGGTTTTGGAAGTCTTTTCTTTTAAAATCCTTTGGAATTCACATTATCTTTAATGCAGAACATAGTGTCCCTCATTTTGGGATTTTCTTCAACTGGACGTAGATGTCGCTCCAGTTTTTCAATTCGTTCTGGGCTTTCTGCGACCGAATTTCGGTTAAGGTTTGTCAGTTACGTTATACAGCTGGACCTCAATAACTAGAACCTCCCTGTGTATATACAGTATAGGTTTACGCCCCAGTTTGAATTATCTTGAAATCCATGCGATAGAAATTTCATTAAATCGAACGCTTTCCTCCTCCAACCTCCATAAATCGAATTTTCTGGAGTCCTTCTGGCCATTATTTTATCAACACAGGAAAGAGAAAAGCGATAAAATGTTACGTTGTGTCCCAAATGAAGTGAGAAAGACTAATTGGGAAAATGAACCCGTGCTTCCAAGTTCAGCATCATTTCAAATCATTTAAAGAACAATACATGTCCGAGAATATCACTGATCACAAATTCCTGTAACTCTTCTTTTCCCCTCAACGAAAGTGCTTGTTTGCCTAACTCGATACCTCCCTAACTTAAGTTTTTTCTGCTGGTCCCTTGAAGTTTGACTTCATAGGAAAAGACCAGGTTGAAGCAATGTACCTCATTATTTGACTTATTCTTGAATCGCCTGACACCTGCATGACATTTCGAGCGTTTTACGGAATAAAATGAACTTATGCATGTTTGCGGATCTGATTTTTTTCTTCCTCAGTTGTCGTGATACGAATTTGGATCGTCGTCAACCCGCTGGAGACATCGGGAAGAATAGTGTCGACGCAGCTGATTCACTTTCGAGGCCTTGTACCAGTTCGAGGCATGGAGCCTTCTTCCAGGGTCGTCGATCAGGCACCGAGGGAGAAGTTACTTCAGAATTCTCTCGTTTTCGCCTTTGGTGGCGTGTGTTTTGTCGTCCCAACTGCCCTCGTCAAGCCGTGTCAGCGAGTCTTGAAATGGGCGGTGAAACCGTGCAGTTCCTCTTTCGAGTGCAGCTACGATTCCGCTTCCGTTTGTCGGTGAGAGAATGCGGGAGAAATTCAGTGTCAATCGCGAGAAAAATTGCTTCATAAATGCTGAAATTTAGGTGGAAATAGTCACGTGTTGAGAGGTTATCTCGCAGAATAGAAAGCCAGAGAGGAAATACAGTGGGGCTTCGAGATGCGGACGCACTTCTGGAATAGGTGCTTAGACCTTGTCGCTATTTCGGAATGTCCGCATGTTGGATCACATTTTCCCTTTGACTTAATTGGGAATACAGTACATGTATATTTAATTTGTTCATCTGTTGATTGAAACTGAAAGTGAGGAAATGTCCCTCATTAATTGAAGAAAAGGGATTTTTTTGCCAACTTCAAGATCCAGAAAATGAATTTACGAAAATAAACCACACAAAATCTGATTTTTTGGCATGAAAACGAGCCAAAGAAGCAAATACGAAGCGCAAGTCTTCCCATATTGTGCACAGATTATGGAAAGGATTCTGAAAAATTAAGTACAAAATTAGCCTGTTTCAAATGCATAATGAACGTTCAATTTTTAGTATATTTTATTATAAAAAGCTCAATTTCTTCAAAAGGTAGCAAACATTTCAAAAAGTGAGGGTTTTAATTTGTCTAGAAATGTTGGTTCAGATTCACCGAAATTCGAGTGTCCTTATGTCTAATTGTCCGTATGTTGGGCATCCGCATCTTGGTATCGGTAGTTTTGTTTAAGAGGCGAAGTACGAAATTTTACAAAAAATTGCATCCTGACTTAACATGATTTTTTGAATATATGTTTTGCCGAATTTTTTTTTTCTCGTGTACCGTCTTATGTGATCCCTGTCGAGTTGAATTCCGCACTTTCGAAGTGCGCCGCCTTAGAACATTTTCTTGAGACTGTTCATGGCAATTCATAATTGTGTCTTTCTAGATTGCGGGGTGTGGAAAGAGCTTTACAACAGGCGAAAGAAGAGAGAAGGGTTTTGAATGAGGAACTGGAAAAGCTCGAAGCGAGTTTGACCCAGAAGCGGGAGTTGGAGAGGGAATTATCCCTGGCGACTTCGCGGTTGGATGTTTTAAGACGTGCCAAAGAATTCCATTCCCGAGCCCTTGCTGTGAAAAAGGAAAAGCGCGCTGTCCTGGAGGAGAAAAAATTTGAAACCGGTCAGCTCAATTTCCTTTTTATTTCCTGTCACCGAGTGAAAAAAAAAAAAGATAACGAGAATGTGGAATTGCTCGATTAGTTGAGAAGCTTTGAAGACCTTTATAAATTCACATTGCTGATAAGATCGTGGATATTTCATTTTTTTTTTTTTCAGGCTGGATGTTGATGAGTTGGTTCCAAGATTTGACGAGGGATCGAGAGAGAATGCGTGAACTGGGAGCTCCTGCTTTAGCAGAAGCGAAAGAAAACCTGGATTCGACGAAAATGAAGTTGCTTTTACGACGGAGAAGACTATTATCTCAACTCTCTTCCATTTATCCCATTTGCAGAGTTAGTATGCTTCAATTAATATTCATCCGATTTGTACACCGAGCAATATTTAGAAAAGCATACCCTGTTGGAAAGAATTTTTCTTTAAAACATTGATAGCGGTCTTTTTTTTTTTCAATCGTTACCTGAAACTTTCAGTATCGAAGATCTGCCAATTTTTTCTACGGTAACTAGAGAAGCCACGAAACAGTGCGTTCGAAATAAAGTTGTTCATGCAGTGATGTTACCTTTGACTTCTTTTCTAGGGAAGTATTTTTAATTCATCAATTTTCTTCCTTCAACTCTCACCGTTCATTTCATAGTTTCCTGGAAAGATTTCGCGTGAATTTTGTTACGTTTTCCTAATTGTTTGACTAGTTTTCAACTCCGGTGTGTTTTTTTATTCGAGTGTAACCTGGCAGTCGTTTGCAAAATTGGGTCATAAGTTTAAAAAAAAAACCGTTAGTATTCAAGTGCGAATCGCGGCGCCTTTATGTTCTCTAAATTTTAACTAATGACATTTTTAAGCGAAGGTTCTTCAGTAGCGGTGCACTTCTTCTATGAGGAAATATTTTCAGTTCTCGTCCTTCAACTCTCGACATTCAACTTCTTAGTTGACTGAAAAGGTTTCGCCTGAATTTTGTCGTTTCCCGGTGGGATTTCGAGTGATAGAAATAATTTCTCGTGCGTTATTCTGATTAAAGCGACACCTGCGTGTCGCTTGAGAAAGTGAGGTCAGACGTTAAAATGAACACGGCGTCCTCATATGTTCTCGAAATTTTTGCTTCAAGGACAGTCTCGGCAGATGGATGGTAGCCGGAGTAAGACTTCCGGATAGCGAAAACTATGCGGGTCACGATGACACGCAGCTTGCCGTGGCTTTCGGCAACGTGGTGCACTTGTGCATGCTGATTTCCTTCATCGTCAACGTGCCGTTAAAGTATCCCGTCAAGTTCCAAGGATCGCGGAGTTGGATATCGAACCACGTGTGCATCCCCATGTCGGGTGGCAAGGAATTGTCGTGAGTCACGAAGCGGCATGAGAATGCTGTTTTTTTTCTCTCAATGTCTGTAGTTGACTTGGGAAGGTTTTTTCGGGAATATTCGTGAATTTTAACGGAAGAGCCGTTCAACGCCCATCCGGTAACCGTTCATCCTTTGCCTCTTTGGGGACATGTTTTGTGTAAAGCATTTTAAAACAGAAATTCAATGAGTTCAATGCCTTGTGAAGAGATAAAAATGTTTGAAGAGTACTTGATTTCCTTTAGGTTTGTCTAGGTTAGGTTAAGTCATTTTTTTTTTCAGTCAGGTTTGCACATATTTATTTCGGGTTATTCAACTTAGTTTAGGTTAGGTTGGATTAGGTCTGGTCTGCAACCCATAGACCAGTGCTGGTCCACAAAAGTTTGTTGCTGGTCTGTGGGGAATTTTCTTCAGCATCATGCATTTATTAAAAATATTAATCAAGTATGTTATTTTCATTTGAAATTTTGGAAAGACCGTGGTAGTTGAAATTATCTGATGAAAAATGAAAGTTGGCTTATTTTTAAGTAATGCTTCAGGCAAATTTCCGCCTGCTGAAATAAATTACATCGAGTTTTCATTCTGAAAACTTTTCTTGATGCCCAGCTTTCAAATTGTTGAGGCATTCCCTCATAGCTACTCCATTGGTTGTTAACTTGATTTTTCCAATACAAGTTTTCATTGGAGGACTTCTTGTCCAGTGTTCGAAAAATGTCTGCTTGTCAACAAAAATGTTCATGGAAATTTGCTAGTCAGCAGGCCCGAAAGGTTAGATTAATTACTTAATTTAGGTTCCTTCTTTTTTGTAAATTTGCTTGTATGCTTTGAAAAAAAAAAAAACTCATTCAGAAATCAATTTTAGACGTGCCCAAACATCGAAGGATGAAAAGCCAAAATTTTGAAGCTGGATTGGAGTGCGGAGTGAAGGCTCACAAGGTTGGGCTTTATTGGGTTGAATACCCAGAACAATCGGATTGCGATTGTCAGGCAAAAATTAAAAATAAATTTAATGAAAATCTGGGGATGTAGGGATCTGAATTTCCTGAAAGATCGTAAATATAAAGTTGAAGTTGAGGTGAATTCTTCTCTGGTTCTCGTGTGCAGTTACGTTTTGCTTTTTTTGTGTTTTAAGGTTCCAGTTGTTCGATCGGAAGTCTACGAAACAACGCTTTGATTACGCTGCTTATTTGATGAATCTCAACGTGGCACATTTGAGGAGTTGGTGCTCGCTTTCCACGTCGGACTTGCGACTGACTTTGTTGAACCTTTCGTCGTTGATCAACGACGTTACTCCCCGCAGGCTTCTGTGAGTGTGTGGACTGCACAAAATTATCCATCATTGCTTCTAGAAAGTCTCACGAGAAAGTCAGCCCGAATGGGCTGGGAAATAAATTTTGATGATTTTGCAGGTCCTTGATGAAAGTATTCATTGATTTTCCGAGAAAGATCTGTGCTATGTCATTTGTGTACTTGAATCTTGGGCGCCACGTGCGTCCTTATTATTGTGAGAATAACCTGAGAACTTTTAAAAAGTTTCCTCGATCCTCTATATTAGGTGCGAGTGCAGTACATTATTTTTGAACGAATTTCGATCAGGATCCCTGAAAAAGTTTTACCTTGGAACGCCTGACTGTAAAATTGAACTGCGATTGCTACTCACGTTAATATCTGTTTGCTATCGAACTCATCGCCTTGTAGTGGACACTATAAGAATATTGATCTCATGAACAGCAAAATTCTAGCTGCGGAGTACATTGTTGGACTCTCTGTAGAGAGGGTGGACCAGCGAGGGCAAATTTGAAATATTCAAAAATTGTCCATACTACTAAGAAGAGCAATAGTTTTTCTCCTGCGGTTTCCGTCGTGGCCTCCTAAAAAGGTATAGCTGAAGCCCTATCAAATATCCGATTTTCAAGACTTATCGGCGTATACGAGGGTTGTCCCACTTCCGCTGCTTTGCCTTGGGTATTTCTAAAGTAGATACCACTGAAAAAAATTATGTAATTTAGCCCATGCCATTGTAAGGTTCTGTGAATTTTTTTCAGATAAATTACAGAAAAAAATATGTAATTTAGCCCATGCAATTGTAAGGTTCTGTGAATTTTTTCAGATTTTAATATATTTACAGTAAAGCATGATGATAAGTGAAAACTTTCCACTTATGGAGAGAGTTCTCCGCCCATGTCACAAGCTGTTGAAACTTTTTCAGGCCATACAAAAACTTTTAAATTTTATGTTGTTTTTATCATGAACTTCCCTAAAATTTTCCCTCTTCTCCAGGACCGCACCGATACCCTTGGAATTCCGAGCCCCGACGCCGCCAAAGCCGATCCCTCAGGACGGGCCCAACGACGCCCTGCGACACGCCGTCTACGCGCACAGCCTGGGACGATCCAAGGTGCCCTGGGTCGGCTCTCACCCAAATATGCCGGCCATGGTTGCCGCAGCGACGGCGGCAGTGGTCGTCGCTGGCGGAAGACGAGTGCTGCAGGCGCCACTGGGGCCTACGCATTCTCGCAGCGCGTCTCTCGGCGAACGCCATTGTCTGGCGCTTGGTGGCGGCGGCTGTCTGGGTGTGGAGTGCGGGCTCGAGGCCACGGAGGACGGCGCCCGCGCAGAAAACTGTGATCCCGTATTGTGACGTTGAGCGTCCGTTTTTATGTTCCCCGATTATTATTTTTTTAGACATCAATTTTTCGGTCGTTTCATACGCGGTGTTTACGTTTTGTTTTTTGTTTTTTTCTTACGCGTTCTCCTTTTTTCCCGCTTGTTTGATCGAAAACACGGAAATGCGGAAGATGCTCGTTAACCGTTTATTGTTTTGTTCCCAACTACCTCGTTAAAGAATCAATCGCTTCGATAATTGATTGAACCTCTGGCCTTGTTGTGTACGAGGGTCGTCCCACTTGGACGTTTGACCCTGGTTATTTATAGAGTAGGTAAGGCCGAAAAAATTATATGATACAGTCCATGTTGTAAGGTTCTGGGAATTTTTTTTTACATAAGTTTCAATTTATTGCATGATAAATGAAGACTTTCCAGTTAAGGTCAGAGTTCTCAACCCATGCAACAAGGTGCTATAAAATATTTGGGCCAGCTAGAAATTGAACTTTTTCCTGTTTCAGCTACAGTACTGTATTATATTTTCTACATTTTAGATAATGCTTGAGATAGAAAAATGGATTTCAATTTTATAAATGCTGATTTTCATTGATATCCAATTTTGTAGCGAAAAAATTGAATTTTTTCTTTCGACTATTTTCTTCACTGCACTGGGTGATGCTTCAAGCAACAAATAAATTTTGATTTTTTTAGCTGACCTGATGACCTGATTTCTTTAGTACCTTGTAACATGGGTAGAACTCTGGCCGTAACTGGAAAGTTTTCAGTCATCATGCAATAAATTGAAGCATATTTCTAAAAATTCTAAAAAATTCCAGAACCGTACAAAATCATTGGCTACATCATAATTTCTTTTACTGTCATACTTACTCTCGAAATGACCAAGTTCACGTCCATTTGGGACAGCCCTCGTATGGTTGGGCTAATTTCTTCTATGAAACTTACTTCCGATGAGAGGAAATTTTAAATCTTTTTCCTTCAATTCGGATTTTTTTTTTTTGTCAAAGGACTTGATGCTTGGAGGTTTCTTCCATCGCGGGAAAGAGTGTTTTCCGAAGTGAAACGACGGTATATACATTCCACAGTGCCAACGATTCGCGTGGTTTGGAAAGATTGCGCTTCTCGTTAGACATAGGGGGATATTTTCGCAGTTTTCAAATTCCCAGTAAGATTTTTAATTTATTTAGCTTGATTTGGAGCTCGGTGATTCAAAAGAGTGTGCGGGAGTGAACTGTGATCCGTTTCTGTAATAACGGTCGTCATCACGGTTTTTATTTTATTTTTCTCCTGGTGATCATGTTCCCATCGAAATTTTTCTTGTCGGCCTCTGCAGCAAAATGCGTGTCAAGAGGTTTCTACGTTTCATTGTTTCACCAGAGGTATGCATCTTTTGAAAAGATTGCGAAGTGTGCGACCGGAATTTAATTTGTTGAGGCATTCAAATAAATTTCGGGATTAGGCGTAAATTTTCACTTCTGAAACCGGAGATTTGAACGATGCACGAAATACGTGCATTTTTCCGTTTTTGTAATAAGTATCGTTTAATACTGTATACATCAAGAAATTCGAAAGCGTCATTGAGAAAATGTGATTTTGAAATGGAGAATCTATGCTAATATTCACGCTGTAAAGCGCCAAAATTTATAGTGCTGTACTTTTGAGGACTTTTCTTTCGAGGAACTTCAGTTATTACGCTGACAAAGTTGCGCTTTTCTTCCTCGTCGATTAATTTAGGTCAGGTTGAGTATAAGGTTCAAGTGGGTTCATGCAGGATATTGACTCAGTTTACACTTGCATGAGATAGTAGATGTCACATTCTTGTGTGTTGCCTCTTTTTTTCATTCCTGGCGTGTCTCAGATTTGCTGCAGTGGCCGGCATAAAAAATGAAAGTATGTCACGGTTTTTAAATTTTCGTGGAAGTTGGACATTATGCCAGTTTTCTCGCGACTGTGTTGCGAATGTGATTCCATGGTTACGTCGTGATCAAAACGTGGATGAAACTACTCTCCCCTGCAGTCGGGGTTTGGTTGCCATGCCTTGGGAGACGGAGAATTTTATTTAAGTCGTCCCACTGGCGCTTTTTTCCGTAATTAACTGAGCAGAGAAAGTTCCGACGACTGGCGCCTGAAAGATTCTGCAATTTGTTGGCTCGTCGGAATTTTTTCAGCTGATCATGCATTTTGCGCCAGATGTGATGCATTGTTTGTGAGAATTGATCAGATTGCTAATTTTTGCTAATCCACGCAGTTTTTTTGTTGTTGTTGTTGCTTGGACGCGAGTGCAATGACCGGCGAGTCGAACAAACGTGAGCTGCTGAGCAGTTTTTGCGTCTTCTGCGATAACCTAGGAGAAGATGAAGGCAAGGTGAGTCCTATAAAGTAAAACGATGTACGATTTTCCGTTGATTGTTTTATTTATGAGAAATTCAATTTAGACTGCTACCCATTTCAGTGCTTGTCAGAGTTCTGGAACAGGCCTTCTATTCATTCCTAGGCTAGATGTTGACGAATAGGTGCCATGAAGCTTTAAAAAGAAAATATGTGAAAAATACTCCCCGATTATTCTTTGAAAGAAAAACAGTAGTGTAAATTGATTTTTCACGAAGAATAAATATTGCATGTATTTTCTGATTTCCGACACACAGAAATATCGGATTTTTATTTTTAAAGATTTATGCTTCTGTATCACAAATAGGACATTATAAGAAGATAGGAGTAACTATTGTGAAAAATTGTTACGCAGCATCATCTGTTGAGCAGGAAAATGGATTGCAAAGACTGTTATGAATACAAGAATAAAATACAAAATCTTGTGCGAAATATAATCTAGGCAACAAAATCGCGGACATTTTCCTGTGCTGAACTTCTTTGAAAATAATAAGAAATTAGTAAGAATACAAAATTATTTGAATTGTTGTGGCTGTGTGAGTTGTCATGTAACCGAGTTGAGCAAATTGTGGAAGATGCAGAATCAAAAGATTCGTTTTTAAATCCTATTTTTCCAGGAAAAGGACAAAATCTTGTTTTACCATCCAAAGGAAATTAGTGTGGACAAGCAAATTCGAAATATCGGACTTTGTCAGGCAATCATCAAGTTTACCAAGTAAGATCTTGTTCTTGCTGATGAGTTTCGATGCGATTTTTTTATTTGATTGATAATTCCTCACTGTTTTGTTCTAGAACCTTCACAACAGATGAAGCGTGTGAATGTTTGCACACCCAGAAGACGAAGCAATATTTCTACGAGCCAGAACCTGGCTATTGGATGGTGATGGCAAGTACAAAATGGACTCTTTGTTTTTCTCACCGAATGAAAGAAGTCGAGAAATTAGTGTACGAATACAGTACTGTATAAAAAAACTTTTTAGTTGGTGTGAGAAAACGAGTATGTATAGTATTTATACTTCTGTTTGGTAACTAAGGTCTGAGAAAAGTCAAAAACGAAAAATTCGGAGGTCAGAGCGCTTCTGGAGGATATTTTTGGGTTCTTTCCTCCGTGGAAGGTTACTGGAGTCATTACAATCTGATGTACCCTAAAACCTTCATTGAGGGCCATAATTTTCCCTGGCACATTTCGTGGAAGTAATCGAGAGTGGCACAAAATCGAGGAAATCAGATTTAGTTGAGGGTTTCTACTGCAAGCAAAATAAGCTCGTTCACTGATTTATTAGGCCCCTAAATCTGTTTTATTAAAGAAAAAGCCACAAGAAGTAAATTTAAGCTCAAATGTGTTGTTTTATACTGTATTTCAATTTATACAGTACAGTATAATAATTCAGAGTAAATTAAATTTTTCGTCTATTTTGTCAAGTGGAAGAGAAGAGCTTTTTCTTAAAGTTTTGTTTGAGTTTGAGTTTTATATGAAATGCCGTCATGCAGGAATCCTCGCGTTTTCCAGGAAAGCTTCCATTTTAAAGAAAGTAAGGTGCCATACAAAAAAATAATTTCAACTACAGTATGTAAGCTCGGAAAATTCGAAATTACTCGAGTTTTTTTCAAGCATGGGTATGGGATTCTCAGTGATGTGATAACCTATCCCTGGAAAGGCCTGAATATCCTCAATTTTGGTGTACTTTTTCATCCATGACATAGCATTTTTGTGGCTCTATGTGAGTTGGTCCTAAATTGTGGTTATCCTTAAGAACACCATGGAGGGAGATTTGTTCTGGGGAACAACTGTAATGTTTGGAACCAGAAGTGACTCAACAACCAAGTCTAATCTGGTGGACTTCGAGCGACACCTGCTTGATATTGTCCAACATTGAAGATTTGAACACGTAAGTGTTAGGTGTTGAAAGAAAAACAAATCTTTTCTTTACGCTATGTTGCGCTAAAATTGTTTGGCAGCGAACAGAGTTGATTTTCTGTGCGTCTTCTGTTGATTCTCACGCATTTTAACGAGATCCACTTGAGCAAACAGGCTTTTTCTTTTTTCCACTGAAAAAATGTTTCTTTTTTTTTGCAGACTTTGAAAGTTCCGAGCAGAATTGGTTCGCCGAAAGCTGGAAGAGAAGTGGCGGTGGTCGACTATTTGCCGAACGATGTGTGGGACAATGTGTATCAAGCAGTGCTGAGGCAGGCGTATCAAATGTTCCGGCTGTTTTCCGGCCGATTTGCAACGATTGTGAGCGAATGTCCGGCGGAATTCCTGGATCCCTACGATTATTTGCGACAACGCTTGGATCACTTCCTTCCTAAGGTGGGTTAATGTGTATAGTGTCTGTCCTCGAGAAATCGTGCTGATTTGCTGGATCTGGTCAGCTATGTAAAATACATTTTATGAATTCGAGTGAACCGAGGCTTAGAACTGTACTCTACTAAAAACTCCTGGGTGTAAATGTCATTTTAGAGGGAAGAGATGAAAAACATTTTCCCGGAAACAGCGAGACTTCAATAAATTTTAATGTACTGTACTCTATAATCTGATATTGTATCAATTTAGTTTGATTCAATTTAGTTTTTTTTTCAGGAAATTAATCTATTCCCCGGAAAACAAATCATCGCTACAAATTATTGGCGGACTTTCTCTAGAACGATCTTGTCTACAACGATTTTATTTGTAATTTACTATGTATGGAATTTAATTTTGAAACTATTGTAAACAACCTTGTTTTAGAGAGGTGAAAGCATTAATTCCTTCCTTTGGGAAAGATTTCTTTCTTGAAAAATTACTCATTTGAATCAAAAGTACGATGGTGTTTATTTTCCCTGCAACGAACTTTTTTCTGGACCCTTGAATTCCGTTGTAGGTAGAATCAAACTGTTGAAAAGTTTTTTGTTTTCGATCAGTGCCATGAGAGAAAGAATAGAAGGAAGATATGAATTTCCCGCGATATTTAGAGCTTCATTTCCTATATTTATTCATTATGCAGTCATTGAGATTCGAGAGAATATTTCGTAGAATGCATTTTTTCCCAGATAAATGTATTTTTGGGATCTTTTGAAAGAGTGTACGCTGACTCAGAGACTTATTTACAGCCTAAAAAGTTTTCTCCGAGATGCGTTCGAAAAAGTTTTGCAAGCAAAATTATACGGAAATGTTTGAATCGAAGTCATTTATCTTTCTGGGAAGAAACTAACATCGCGTACCTTTTTTAAATGGCAACGTGCTGCGGCCCCGCATGGAGCAGTACGCTGTTCATGAAATACCGGTACCTAAAACCGCGATTTTTATTTTGACTTCCTGTTCGTTGTTCGGAGACATTGTGTTACGTATAGTTCATATCCTTCCCTGTCTCCGTTTCATTGCAGTATCTGGCATCTTTGCATCTTTCCGAAGCTGATGTATCTACTTTGTTCCAAGGCATTCAGTTCTTGCCATTGGATCCACATTCCTTTTTGAAAATACATTGTCTAGTCAATTCGGTGGAAGAAGTGTTCCCGGGTATTGTTCGTTCCATATTTTTCTACGACGATTTTTTAGTGTGGTAAGTTGAACTTCCGAAGTCCGGTACACATTATTTCAGATTTTCTCAAAACTGAGCGCATCCCCTTGAATTTTCCTTCAAGATTCACGCCGTTATTGATACTTCCTCTAGACTTTGAAAATAAAAAGAGAAGCACAGTATCCAAGAGACGTATTTCCGTTGTTCAAACGCTGTTCTAGAGCGAAACCGTAGATAATTATGTTCAGGATGACCTTCCAAGTTTTGTTGACTTGTAGACTTGACTTTCGGTTTCCAAGTTCCACTGGGGGTTTTTTTTTATTGCACGTCGCCGAAATGTCATCCAAGGGCTTATTTTGATAAGGACGATTAGACTTCGCTTTGTGGAAGTGGAAAAAAATGTGAGGGTACTTAAATTGTGTTGAAATTTGCGATGATTGAGCTTTCTTGTTTTGTAAAAATGGTTTGGGATAGCAACGCACTTGAAAAGTTGAAATTCTTGTCAATCTTCTGGGAATGATCGTGAATTTTCACTTCGTGCTTATTTTTTAAAATTCTGGCTGATGAACAGGAGCGGTTTGGAAATGGAGGATATGCAAGTGATGTATCGGTATCTGACAACAGGCCTGTTTCCTTCAGCCGGACGAGCTCACGAAGCTGCTGGCTATTTAGGACCAGCTTTGGCAGCACCCAAAGGATTGTAAGCGATTGAAGGCATTCGGTTTTTTTTTTAAATCGTATTTTCTGCAACTGGGTTTTGCGTTAGTTTCATGACGGGACCGAGTGATTTGTCCAATGCTGATAATCTTGGGAAGATCCCCCGAGTCATTGTGAGAGACATTGGGAAAGGACCCGATTTTCCACCCGAAGAAGACCCCGGAGGAAAATACGGAGAGGAACATCAGTTGATTGTTTACCGAGCAAAAGATACGACCATTTGTTTCCTCTTTGAAGGTATGTTCCGTTGTCGCAGAATACTGTACAGTAGAATCTCGTTACAGGAAATACATTTTTGGTGCTGCAAATTTTTTCTCAATCCTGGCAGAAAGCCCATGGTGTGCATCTTGAAGCAATCTTGTTGCAACAAACTTCTCAATTCCAGTACAACAAAATTTTTGACGATTGTTTAATAGATTCTCAGGGTAGAAATTTCCTCACTGAGGTAGGCACAGTCTGGGATTTCCAATCCCAAATGTGACTGACTAATTCTCGTAGCATCTATGGAAGCTGTAATCAATGACAAACGTGCGAAGTGGTGCCACGCATCATCCTCCCAAATTCAAAAGATTGGTGCGACTGATGGAATGCATGATTCAAGCTTTTTTTCTTCAGAAAATCATTGTTTCTCAATAAAATTCAACGAAAAAACTGAGAAAGCGATGTCTGATTGATTGTAGGCAGTTCGAATGTGAAAAATTTTCCCAGTCGTTAATTTTGAAAATCTCAGTGTAACAAATCATTCAGTTTTATATACTTTTTCTCAAGTTCATATAAGTTTGTTGTAACAAGATTTTACTGTATACCGTATTTACTCAATAATTAACCACGCGCACTTGGTTTTCTGGTCCTGAAATTTGGATATTTTCCTAAACCCAAGTATGAAACGCACCCCCAAGTTCAGCGACAAAAAAGGGCAAAGATCTGAACAAAATAAAAAAAAATTTGACTTGTATTGAATCCAGATTGGTTTACTCTTACATTTAAAAAATTCTTCATTGATGCAGTATTTTGCAAATTTTCTTTCAAGATGAAGTATTGTTCTGTCTTATGAGCACCTGCACTCTTGAACGTGTGGAAAAATTGTATATAGTACCCGCTTAGAAAACGCACCCTCTTTTTCATCTTTCAATTTGAAAAAAATGAAAAACGTGCGCGTGATTCTCGAGTAAATACGGAGTAATTTATTATATTGCAAGAAAAATTATCCTCATATTTCTGTTGGTCGTAGGGTCTCAGGAGATGGATATCAACCTGTTCAGGAAACTAGACGCATTCCTGGGACACCAGTTAGCCGGGCTCAGCGACGAAATAACGGAAAGCATCCGTAGGAAATCGCAGAACACGATGTCCTCAGATTCTGTGATGTTCAAGTACGTCTACTTCAATGCTGTCAATTGCGCCATGAAGAGTACCATGGCTGTGGACGCTGCGAGGAAACCCGTTCCCACGGGACCCGTGGACTCCTTCGTCACCGGCAGTCCACCGACTGAAGTACTCAAATTCTTCCCGCAGCTGCACCAGGATTTGCACTAGTAAGTTTTTGCGAAAGCGCAGTTCTTGACAGGATGATGAAGCTCAGACAAATGCACTTATTTGTCACCGGCAGTCCACCGACCGAAGTACTCAAATTCTTCCCGCAGCTGCACCAGGATTTGCACTAGTAAGTTTTTGCGAAAGCGCAGTTCTTGACAGGATGATGAAGCTCAGACAAATGCACTTATTTGATTATCCGTGGCATGAATCTGGAAAGAGTATGTGAATTGAAGTAGAGCGACGTACAGTACCTTATTTACGCAACGTCAGGATTCCGTCACTTATAAATTGCATCATGATTGTTTAGTTCCTCGAAGTATTGAAAAATAATTTGCTGATTGAACCTAAGACACGAAATTCAGGGGACCAGGAATAGATTTCGTCGTCGAGAACCTTCGTAAAATTGTTTGGGAACATGTGCCTATGGAACTGAATACAATTTTGTATGCAGTAAAATTTCGCCACGAGAAATCTCGATTTTTTTTCGTGGTCCTGGCAGTTATTTTATAGGGACTATATTATAAAAATTTCGTTAAAACAAAGTAATTTTCCTCTTCAATCTCAGTATGTCGACTTTTTGCTTCGTTGGCGTGTGCATAGGCCATATCGGAATTTTTATCCATATGCATAAGCATAATATGGGCGAACCTAACTTGTGCATGATAACATAGCCTTCAAAAAGTGTAAATGCTCATAATTTTTACAGAAAATTCAGCATTGCAGGAGGTATAAATCTCAAATCAAAATTGTTTCATCTATATTTTAGAATTTAGAAATGGCTAAACTTTTTAAAGGAAAGTGCTGTATGCTTGGGAGAATATTGCTCTATTTCCGGGAACATACCGTTCGTGATGAATAAATGCTCTTCTTACACATGCATTTTCTGTATGTTTCAGCTAATGCTTCAGTAAGATGGATATATAAGTCTTTAAAAAAAAAATTCAGTACGTAAGTAAAAGGAAAAATACGTCAGATACGACATAAGAAAGTAGAGCACTTTCCTTTAAACGTTCCTTTTTTCTCAGGGTATAAGGAAGTCAAAATATTTCCGCGCTCAGTTCAGTCATGTTTCCAATTTATCTTCAGTTGCATACATAAGTTCACTGAGTTGATGGAATATCAATTATTTGAGTAAAGGTTATCGGACCACGCTGTGACCTAGCATTTCTCATGCAAGTCTTTTACGCTTCTTGGTTATTTTTTGAGAGTTGGAAAATAGTGTGTCATCTTCGCGTAAATACACCGATACGTATTTTCATCGCGGGATATTTTCCTGTCTTCGAAAATGAACGACTCGTTATGCATAGATGACTCCTTCCGCCGCAATTCATAGCCTGCATCCAAGTCGTCATTTCCAGAAGGCAAAATGTTCTGATAGAGAAATACTGTATTTTTTGGCAGCTTCGGTCCGAATGCGGAAATGAGCGTGAAATTGCACAACGATTACTGGGTTGTCGCGAAGAAGGCTGATCAAAGAGAAGTTTACATTGTGATGAGCCAACGGAACATGACGCTTCTGGAAACGTCGGGTGAGAGAAACTAGTGAAAGGCGGTAAATTTGTCTCTTCGCCATTTTATCAAATTATTTTTTAATACTACAGTATTTTTGTATTTGTGATTTTCTACAGATGAATTGAACCGGTTGTTCGCGAGTCAGTTCAGCAATATTTTTTTGCTCACTTTCGCTTCGCTGACCTCGACACTACACGCTCGAGTCTACGTATGGCATGGCAAAAATGCGGCTAGTGCTAAACAAAGCAAAGCTAAGGCACGGAAAAAAGCAAGTACGCACTCAAAACTAAAGGAAATATGCAGGAGTTGAGCATCGGTGGAGTTTTGGTACGCAGTGAAAAAAAAAGCAGCAACGGAACAACCTCATCTTAATCTCGGAAATTTAGTACAGTAATGAGTCCTTCTTCGGTTTTGTTGAATGCAGGATATTGTTTTTACAAGCTGAAAGCCCAGTTTGGGACACTGGATTGCAACAAATTTCTGTTGCTTGAATTTTGAAGTTGGGTGCAGTATTGTGTGTGTGCGATGAAGCGTTGAGAAGTGACGTCGAGGGAGTGGAATTATTGTTTTATTTAAATTTTAATTGTGTCATTCCAAATTGACGTGGATTTCATTTATTTATTTCAAGTTCTTGTGAAATGGATGAAACTGATGCATAGGCCCGTTTCTCTTGGAACGGGAAATCTTTTAGCAGAGACACTGTGCCTCTTTCTTTCGTCATGATTGTGTTCCCGTGATGGGAAGTGTTGCTGTGATGTGATTCCAACGAGAAAAAAACAGCGCAAGACCATGGCTTATGGGCACATCAGTTGGTGAGTTTTTGCAAGGAAGCCCTTGCATATGTTTTTGGTCATTTTGATCTTACGTTGTTTTCCTAATACACAATATAGCTGAGCCTCATCCCCTCGAAGTTCAAGGGACCAACCGAAAAATTCGAGTTTGAGAAACAAGCATTTGTTCTGGGGGCAAGAAAAAAGAACGACAGGAAATTTTAGATGGGAATGTTTTGGGCCTCGAATTGCTTCTTGAATAAATTGGTGGGTTGCTGAACTTGGAGGCAAGGGTTCATTTGCCTGATTAGTTTTTCATTTGAGCTAGAGAAAGTTTCATTTCCATTGCTCTCCTCTTCCCTGTGTCAATAAAATAGACAAAAACGGCCCCAAGAAAACGTGATTCAAGGACTTTTGAGCGGGGAAGTCTTTCAGTTGGGGACATTTTTAATGCATTGTTTTGAAAAAAATTTGACAAATGAAATTATTCCAATTAGATTTATTGAGATACAACTGTATCTGTGGAAATATTTGTACATTTTTGCAAGAGAAGCAATTGTGAATAACGCGCGGATGCACCTGCAATGTAGTGTAACTGTTGAAAAACTAATTGGCTCTCTCCTGTACGAAAAGTGAGCTTGTTAACAGGCAAGCTCGTTAGAATGCTCCATTAGTCTTGGGGAAAAGCCATAAAAGGGGAACGCGAACCCCAAATCTTCGTCATTTCTTTGCCAAAAGCAAGCCTGTCACCAAGAGCATTAAAAAATTGTATTGCGTCTTGGACTGCGTTTAATTTACACTCGGCGTCTACCGTTACAGACAGCGTCTCTTCAGCATTCGTGAGACTGGAAAATCAGTGAATACGAAATCTACTCAAAAGAATCTTGACATGTATCATCGAGGCTTTGTGTCTGGAGTGTTATGCAGATGTTGGCCTTATCACTGAAGTCAACCGACCTTAACTTAAGCTAAACTAAGTTAACTTTCCCAGGACTAGTGAGAGATGCCCAAAAGCTCGAGCGACACCTAGGTATTGATGGAAGCATATCAGACTGCTGGACGTCTTATGTTGGAGTACTAATACTATAGTCGCAGCTTGCAGTTCAGAGTTTGTAACGAATCGCGACGTGTGAGGTGGAGTGAGGGTTTTAAAACTGAATTTGTTGACTTTTTTTACGAGCTAGCATCAAGAATTTGTCTTGATTTTTTAATTTTTTTGCAGGACTATGCGAAGTCCCTCATCAGGTGCTTAAGCTTGCTTACTGGGCTAGCACGGTCAACCCTAGAACTTACTTGACTTCGAGTCCCGAAATTGGGGGCTACTGGCCTTACTGCACTCACTTTAAGAGTAAGCCTCTGAAGGGATTAATGCGTTACATACAGTATTTCTCTTCAAATTTTGATGAGGATTTTTTGGGAAGCGGCCAAGGTCTGAAATGTTTTCGGTTTTTCTTCAAGAAGCGGAGAGATGATTCTGAAGTTAATTTGCGTTTTTGCGTGTGTGATTTATTGCAGGTTAAAGCACTGTGTCAAGACTGGTTCCCGGTGAAATACCCCGAGTGCTGGTACGATTCCGTGACGTACGAGGCGCGGTTTTTGTGAGAGCGTCGGTAAGAGCTGCCGTTTTAGTAGCCAAAATAGTAACGCCTTCAGTTCAGAGGCATACGAGAGTTGTTCCAGACTAAATCGTGTCAACTTGGAGCTATTGAGCTTGGAGGCATACAGGAATATATTTCAAGTCCCGGTCTTAATCCCCTTGAAAAAGTGCATTGAAAACCTCCGTAACTCAACGAATTTCCCCTCAGGAGTCCGTAACTCGAATTTTCTGGCGCGGCCTCTTGGATCTTATTTTGTTTACAAAGAAAAGAGTAAAGCGATGAAAATGTAACTTGATGTGTTTTTGAAAAGAAGTGAAAAACGAATTGGGCAAATGAACCATTGCCTCCAAGTTCAGCATCATGTCAACTCATTCAAGAAGCGACTTGAGGCCCAGAATATCGCCAATTACGATTTCCTGCAATTATAGTATTTCTTTTCCCAAACAAAAATGTTCGTTTCCCCAACTCGAATTTTCTTGCTGGTCCCTTGAAGTAATTTGTTTACTCTTTTTTCAAACGTTTGTGGCTGATGATCGCATCGCAGGAGGATCAAGACGTGCTGGCCGTCTACTTCCGCCCGGTCTCGACAGTGGCGTACATTCTCAGTCTGGGTGTGGTTCAAGAATACCGAAGGGTCGGGATTGCGTCGCTCTTGTTGGATTCGTTGATTCGCCAACTCACGACACCCGAAGCTGTGCACTGCAAAGCGCTTTTTTTGCATGTTCTGACTTCTAACAGTTCTGCCATCCGTTTCTACGAGAATCGGAATTTCAAGTGAGATTTCATCCAGACGGCCGTTACTTTTTTTTTTTTTTAATTTTTCCGTTTCACGCGATGTCAACCCCGTTTTTCCTGTTACGGTAATATCTCGTTATAACAAACTTTTTCGGACCACAGAAAAAGATTCTTCTGTATTACTGAATAATTTGTTATAACGAGATGATTAAAAATAATTACTGTAGAAATTGTTTTACGTCAGAACTGCTGCGTATTAAATCTTGCTATTTTTGAATTTCTTTGATTTTTTGCTATGGTTTAAAAAACTGAGTGATCTTTGCAACGAAACATAAACTTGGCTCCTGATTATGAATTTCGTCAGTTGCTTATTTTCAAACCCTGTAAATAGTCTGTGATTAATTTTTCTAGATTAATTTTTAATTTCTGGGTGGCATTGACATTACTACTGCATTTTAATCCCAGAATGAGTCACAAAAGTCCTTTAACTTCCGTGTTCCTCTGATTTATACATGATAATCACGGAAGTTTATTCTCGACTGTTCCGTAGCGTTTTAGGGCGTCGGGTAATTTTTTTTTTCGAAGCTTTCGCTGCCAGTTCTTATTCACTTTTGTGCGTCTGCCTCCCAACATTTTTTGGACGTCGGCCATGTACACTCCTTGCTGATGCATGATGATTGGTCGAGGAGTATGCCAAAAAAATAATGTACTAGAACGAATGATTTCTTCGTTTCTTTGTTCATGTTTTTGTTTTCTGCATTGATTCGTTGATAGGTTGCAAGCGTTCCTCCCCTACTACTACGCTATCAACGGGCAGTTCCGCGACGGGTTCTCGTACGTGCTGTACATAAACGGCGGTCATCCGCCCTGGGGACCCACGGACTACATCAAGTACGGCCTGGGCGTCTTGGGCCGGCTGGACCCGTGCTCGTGGCCGTCGCGGCTTTTGCACAATGCCCGTTCCGTCGTCCCGTCCATCTTCACCAGCCTCGCCCGAGGCACGATGGCTCTAGGCAAATGAAGACGAGTATCACTCATAGTGTGGTAGTCGAACAAGAAGAAAAAAAGGATGAGACACGTCTTCGCGCCCAACGACACGAAAACACTTTCACCAGCCTCGCCCGAGGCACGATGGCTCTAGGCAAATGAAGACGAGTATCACTCGTAGTGTGGTAGTCGAACAAGAAGAAAAAAAGGATGAGACACGTCTTCGCGCCCAACGACACGAAAACACTAAGGAAGCAAACAAGAAACACAGCGTCGGGTGTGTAAAATGGAAATTCCTTGGAAGTTTTCTTCTTTCTTTCTTTTTGGAATTTGAATTCGAAAATTAAACTTGCCCCTTCGAGTCTTCGAGCGAATGATTTCTCCTGAATCGTCTGTGGCACAATCCAAGATTATACAGGGCGTTGAAGAAGTTAACGTGTGGTGATGAATTTGTCAGTCTTTATCATCATCTGTTGAGCTCAAGGGCTATTGTTTTAACATGAGTGAATGTCAATGGTTCAGTCAAACCTCTTGAATTCGATCTTCGAGGGACCAGCAAAAAATATTCGAGTCGAAAAAAAGTAGTATTTTTGTTGGATAGGGATGGAAGAAGAATTACAAGAAATTATGAATTCAAGACCTGAAATTGCTTATTAAATAAGTTGACAGAATGCTGAACTTGGAGGCAGGGGTGCATTTGTCCAATTAGTCTTTCATTCCCTTTCAAAGCACATGATGTTGCTTTTTTATTTCTATTTTCTTTCCTGTGTCAATAAAATAATTGCTTGAAAGGGATCCAGCAGAAAATTCGAGTTATGGAGGTTTATAATGCATTCTTTTGAATGGAATTTGGACGGAGACTTGGAATAAATTCGTCCTAAGGTGGTTTGAGTTATTAAAGTTCAACTGTATTTCAAATTTGGACCGAGCCTTGAATCAATCCATTAGCTCGTGGGTGTTCATGATGTATTGTTAATGTTTCATGAGATGGTTAATCAATCAAATTTCAGATTTTTTTTCGCTGTGTTCATCAATTTTNATGAGTGAATGTCAATGGTTCAGTCAAACCTCTTGAATTCGATCTTCGAGGGACCAGCAAAAAATATTCGAGTCGAAAAAAAGTAGTATTTTTGTTGGATAGGGATGGAAGAAGAATTACAAGAAATTATGAATTCAAGACCTGAAATTGCTTATTAAATAAGTTGACAGAATGCTGAACTTGGAGGCAGGGGTGCATTTGTCCAATTAGTCTTTCATTCCCTTTCAAAGCACATGATGTTGCTTTTTTATTTCTATTTTCTTTCCTGTGTCAATAAAATAATTGCTTGAAAGGGATCCAGCAGAAAATTCGAGTTATGGAGGTTTATAATGCATTCTTTTGAATGGAATTTGGACGGAGACTTGGAATAAATTCGTCCTAAGGTGGTTTGAGTTATTAAAGTTCAACTGTATTTCAAATTTGGACCGAGCCTTGAATCAATCCATTAGCTCGTGGGTGTTCATGATGTATTGTTAATGTTTCATGCGATGGTTAATCAATCAAATTTCAGATTTTTTTTCATTGTGTTCATCAATTTTTGTAGCGATTTTCTTGCTTCGAGCAATTGATAAATCAAGTTTTTCCAAGTTTTCCACGTCAACTAGTGATGCAGGAAAAATTTAGTCTGTCGCTGCTCGGTAACTTTTTGAGCGCCCTGTAATTTCCTCTTCATAGTTTTCGACGCGATTTTGTTCAGAAGTTCTTGGATTGGCCGACTTGACCAGTTTTAAAGAGAGGGGGGTGGTGACCTTGGTTAATTCGAATGTCCATTTGGCTGTGTGTAATTCCTTGAAACTGAACATAATTTATCATGACAAAATTTGAGTATTTTCAATTTTTGTTGCACCGTATTCCGCGTTTCTTTCTCGTGAACTGTTTGCATGGAAAACGTTGATTGCCAGAGTGAAATCAACATTGTCAAGTTGAAAAAAAAATGCAATGGAATTCCCCTCCTCCCCCCACCACCCCGTTCCAAGTGTCGCTAGTCGCTGTTCCTATTTCGTCGGGATTGTTGATCCCGCTGCTGCCTTTGTGGTCGACACACCCTTTTGTTACTGTGATACGTGATGCAGTTGCGGTTTACGTGATTTTTTGTCGTTATATCAAGAAGAGGTGGACGAAGGGAAAAGCGGAGGTTTTTTTGCGGGGCCTGAGCAATCAAGTGTTGAACGATTCCCGGCCGGAAAGCTTGGCGAAAAGGAGATTTTTTTTTTGTATCTCGTAACTTCTTTTTCTCTCCTTGGAATCGTTGGCAGCTACAATTTTCTTAATCTCCTCTCGCAATAACCACGGTTTTCGAAACCGTATTTTCCCGGGTAAGCGGAAATATTTGTGGTGATTTTCTTTTTCAAAGCCGAGTGTGAGTCAGAGAAGGTATTTTTTGATTCCGTCGTGCGCGTTTTTTTCCGCTCTATACAGTACCATCCGAAAGTTAAATCACTTTTCGCTCCAATAAATATCGTATTCAGTGAACATCAGACGCATTTGATCTGATTTTGAACGAAATGTTTGTAAAGGGATGCCCCAGAAACTAAGACTGTTCAGGCTTTTAATTTAGTCGACGACGCTCTGCCATGAAGGAATATTTCCACGTATGAAATAAAATGAGAGCAGAAAACTAATGATTTACGTTGAAAATCCAGGAAAGCGTTTGCTTTTTCTACTCGAGCTTGAGTTTTTTTTTTTCGTAGTTATGTCGTGCAGTGTTCCTCAACCTTTTTGTACCCGCGAATCTCTATAGAATTTTTTGAAAATTGGAAAAATTCTGTTAATTTTTTTTGCAGACCAGCAGACATTTTCTAGGTACCCGCCATTAAGTCCTCTATTCAAAACTTTTATTGCAAAATTCTGTCCAGAACCAATGAAGCAGCTATAGTGATAAGTCTTCAAAAAATTCGAAATCTGTGCTTAAAGAAAGGTTTCTCCGAATTAATACTTAAATATTGATGAAATATTAGTTTTGACAGATGAAAATTTGTCTGAACTGTTATGAGGAGAAAAGTTGACCTTGTTTTCATCAGATAATTCCAACTGCCATTTTATTTTTAAAATTGCAGATGAAGACAGACTTCATGAATACTTTTGAAAATTTATAATGCAGAAGAAAATCACGTTTTGTTGAACGTAAATTTCAAGTTAATTTGAATTTTTGATTGGAAACGCCTGGTATTTCAGATGGTCAAATATAACTTGTTCGCTCATTTCGTCGAATCTGTTGGTCAGAGTTTCTAGTATGTTGATTGTGATACAGTAACTCTCTTCGATTGACTTGAAGATTCTGTTGGACTGAACAGTTATAAGTGCGTGTCTCTGAACCAATGGCGCCTCATATTCACTGAATACGGTAATAAGAATCCAGTAATTCATCCTCTTATCAACGATTGAAGAAAAAAGCTAATGCTCTAGGAAGGCTCATTCAGGGTTTTTCTGCGCGAATTTTTTTCTTCTCGCGAATTTCGAAATGCTTCGAAACAGCAACACGAAGGAAGGTATCGAATCGTGTCTCCTCTTCCTGAAGCAATTATTTTGAACTGTGAAGCGGTGTTTGAATCGAAGTAACCGACCGTTCCCGAATACGTTTCGCAATCATTGTCACGTTACCAACGAAAAACGAAAAAGTGGATCCATATTTATTTGACTTTTTTCCTTTCTCATCTTCACGCGGTATTTTATTTCTCGAGAGTCCCAGGTGCTTGGTGTGTGTTTTTTTTTTTTCGAACAGTTCGAGTATTTTCTATGAGAGTCGCGTTGTTGTGACTCTGTAGCGGCAATGAATTTGCTGGATCTTCTGCGTTTTCTGCCTTTTTTTTTTGGACGAGACCTTCGTTGAAAGATGAATTTTTTGGGTATCTCGACTTCTGTGTTCGTGGGGAGTAAAATCCCGAAAATACTTGGAATGGGTTGTTTGTTTTTGTTTTGTTTTTTTGGAAGCATGACGTAATTGGTGAAGAAATGCCGGTCGAAGTGAGTGAAATCCTATTTGGAATGGTGCGCCATTTAAATTTGCTAAATATGGAGGAAAGATTTTTGGTGATCTCGTCTCAGCTTGCGGAAAATAATTTTAAAATGACTCGTAGTTTCATATTTTGGAATAGAAGCGATTCAAGACTGGTCTCCTTCTTGAGAAAACAAGGCACTTCAAGTTGCGCACCCTTGATGAAGTAGTTGCTCCCCAGAATTGTGAAAGCTTCGTTATGGGGGAATTTTCTCATCTCCACAGAAGTCGAGATACATTTTCACGGACTTCGTTCAATGTTTTTTTGTCGTTTCAAAAATTGAGATCTGATTTTGAAAGTGTTTTCATTATTTCCCTCGGGAGGTTTTCTTTTTTGAAACGGCGATTCTGTGATTCCGATCAGTGAAGCATGGAGAGTGGCAGCGACGACCCTTTGGATTCGGCGTTTTTGTCCGACGATGCGTTCATGGTTGAACACGAGAACAGTGTGATGAAGAGTGAAGACGACGACGACAGCGACGACAATATCAAAAAGGACTTCGACAATGAAGGTGAGGACTTCCTTTTTTTTTCAAGTTTGCAAAATCGACGCGAGATGAAAATTTTCCGGGTACTGTATTTTATTTTTGTTTCCACTTGTGACATGCGCAAAGATGCGGTTTTGTTACCTTCGGTAAAGAAACGGGGAAGAGCCTGATGGTATTCTGGACGATTTTCTTGTTGAACTTGGAGGCAAGAGTTCGTTTTCTTAATTAGTTGTTAATTTCTTTACAAAACACATCGTTAAATTTTTCTTGCTTTTGTATTTCCTATGTCAATAAAATAATAGCCAAAAGGCCTCGAGAAAATTGGAGGCACGGAGGAAACCCTTGGGAGTTCGCGAGATTTTTAATGCGTTGTTTCCAAGGGAATTCAGACAGGAACTTGGCACACACAAAAATCGACGTAGGGGTTCGAGAATCAACTGTGTTTTGAAAAAAATAAAAAAAGAAGAGCTGGATCTCGAAGGCGTTGATAATCAATCATTCAAATTAATTGACTTCATTGTGATGCAGGGGAATCTGACGGTGGCGGCGGCGGCGGTGGGATGGCCGAGAAGCAGGGCCCGTTGCGGGAACAAGACCGATTCCTGCCGATTGCCAACATCACTCGGATCATGAAGCGTGCCATTCCCAAGACGGGCAAGATTGCCAAGGACGCCAGGGAGTGCGTGCAGGAAAGTGTGAGCGAGTTTGTGAGCTTCATCACGAGCGAGGCGAGCGATCGTTGCCAGCAGGAGAAGCGCAAGACCATCAACGGGGAGGACGTGTTGTTTGCCATGTCCACCCTGGGGTTTGATCACTATGTCGAGCCACTCAAGTATTACTTGCAGCGTTATCGAGAGGTGACTTTATTTTTATTTTTTTGATGAGCTTGTGGTTTATTACCAAGTGGTTGACGAGGCCAGGTTTGCCTGCTGAAATGGACGGCTCGACTCTCTCAGTCCAACTATTTTTTTGCCTCGATCATCTGTGCATGAGCCTCGGAATTTTTTACTGATTGGCCCAGAATGGGAAAACCCAAATTGTGTATACTGTACAATGAAATCGCGTTACAACGAAGCTTCCGGGACCGGGAATACAGCCTCGTTATAGAGATGAATTCGTTATGAATCGATTTGAGTGAAAATATTATTTTTAGGCAGGGGCCAGAAAAACGACTTCGTTGTGGAGAGATTCTGATATAGCAGGAAAAAACGCCGTTCTCTCTGTACATTAAATTCAGCATTGCAAGAAGTATGAAGCTAAAATCAAAATTTATCTACCTTTATTCTATAAATGTATATTGGTTAATTTAAAGAAAATATTACTAAATTAGGTGTCACTTACGAAAAAACGACAGCCATAAAATATTCTGTGATGCAATTATTGTAGCATTTTTAATGCAATACAGGTCATGAAAGGTGAAAAACCGTCGGACCAAATGGAGGAAATCACGGAATTTCTTCCACGTGAGTGTGAAAAAGAAAAGAAAAATTTGATTGCGTAGTCACGAATTTAAAAAATTTCCTGCGTGTTTCACAGAGCGGAACAGCGAACCTGGGCCAGTGGAAGTGGCGCAACACCAGCAAGTTGTGTTTTATGACTACACCATGTGAACGGAAAAAAAGAAAAGCTCGCGTTTTGTAATTTTCGCCAAAGGTTTTGATTTTTTTGAGTTGTGGTGCATTTTGGAGACTTGATCCATGCACTTGTTCTTGCGAATGTGTGTCCTGGAAAAAAAGAATGTACGTTTGCCCATGCTCGAATCTTTGAAGATGTTTGGTCTTCCAAGATTTTCCTGATTTGGTTTTTTTTTTTTGGTCTGGGAGAAGCGGATTTGAACGATGAATTTCAAGAAATTATTTTGGTTTTCTTCACGAAACGGATTTATTTTCATTTGATGGAAAAACCATCGCTTGTCCTTGAAGGTGTTTTTTGATACAAATGTATTCCAACGCTATCTCTTTTTTTTCAGAATTATTTTTTGTGCCTTCCTTCCCGGATTTTATCCCCAAAAGTCATGGCCTCAACGTCTGAGCAAAGCGAGTCGAAGACGTTGAAAACATTTACATTAGCCGAAGTTGCCGGAAAAAACAAGGAAGAGGCGTGTTTGATTGTGATACATGACAAAGTGTACGACGTGAAAAGCTTTCTTGATGAGGTGAGCGCATTTGGCGAGTATTAATTTTTATTTTTTGTGGTTTCATACGAAAATTGCTGTTCGTCCTTATTTTCACTCTTGATTCCCACGTGACTTTTTTATTTTCCTGCGAGTCGAAGGTGTTTTTTTTATTGCTCGTGTCGAACTTGTTGTCTTCCGTGAGATGGGAAAACTCATCTCGTGATTTTGCAACTTCCTTCTCAGCATCCGGGAGGTGAAGAAGTGCTGCTTGAACAAGCGGGAAAAGTTGCGACGGAGGCCTTTGAAGATGTGGGACACTCGACTGATGCGCGGGATTTGATGAAGACGTATTTGGTTGGGGAAATTACGGAAGTGAGTCGACAAACAAAGGCGGAAGGGCTGGATTTTTTCGAAAATTGAAATGTCATTTGTGTTGCAGGAAGAGAAGCAGAGAACCAAAGAGAAGCTATTGAAATGGACGAAGGACCCGGTTCCGGAAAGGTGATGGATTGATTCATTATTCCATGTTGTATCTGGTTTTTCAGTTGAGAAAGGTATCTTGAAAGAAATGCGCATGTTTAGAGATTGAGACAACTCATCACAGGCAATTTTGTCAACAAATTGAACTAAAACTTCTCATTCACGACATTAATAGAGGTGGACTCTCTCTGCAACAAAATCCGAGGGACCAGAAAAAATGTCTTTGTAGAGAGTTCTATTGTAAAGAACCCTATGCTCTTGCCACTAAAAAAATCGTTTTGCAGAGAAAATCGTGTGGACAGAGTCCACCTGTGTACAGTAAAATCTTGTTAAGGCAGCCCATAGATCTACAGTATAATAATAATTACTAAATATTAAAATGAATATAAAACTTTCGAAATGAATAGTTTCCTCTCATTAAACCTGCTGTTTTGCTGAAGTGTCGTTTTTCTTGAAAAAAAATTACATTTGGTAGAGATACTGTACTTCCTCTTAAATGAACTTATTTATTCATTCATACCTGTCTGTCCTTTCAAATGCAGGAAAAATCTTTCCTAACGTACCATTTATTTGAGAGAATGGCGTACATTTTAAAATGGCGCTAAAGAACTTCCAAGAAATATATTGCGTTGTGCATTTTTTGACCACCAAATTTTATCTCTCAATGAAGTTTTTTTGTTGTTGATGAAGTTGAAATGCTGCACCCTTCCAATTTTTTCTGACATCCATCAAAAAACACCTATACCATATGCAAAGATTCAGGCCGTAAATTTTTCATCATGAGGTCACTTCATATGAATGAGTTTAAAAAAAGATTGTATAACATGGCGTCTACGGAGAAACTTTCAGGACCAAGAACACAATCCGTTGTAACGGAATTCTACTGAATTTTAAAATAAGTAGCAAATAACGCAAAGGGAATATGCAATTGAGTTTTCTAGACTTTCTAGAAAATTGTATTTAGGAGTTGTATTGGTCTGTAATGTTCTAAAAATGCAATTGTGTGTTGGCTGGTGGGGTGACTGTCACGGGCCAGATCTGGCCGGCCTGCCGTATCTTGGGCACCAAGGTACTCTCTGTACCGAAGTCTTTTGCTTGTTTATGTGAACTTGAAGAGGTATTGATTTTGTTGTTTTGTGTGTATTTATATGCTCAGTGGATGGAAACAATGGCTGCTTCCGATGGCAGTCGCCATCGTGGGTTCCCTGCTCTTCCGACTCTACGCGTCCAGACACGAGGCGAATTAAGGTGCTCAAACTCGCCGGTCTCCGCTACACACACGCAAAAAAAAAGGAAATCGAGTGGCTTCCTTGCATCATCGGACATTCCCTGTTTCGTCACATGGGCAGCTCGTGTATCTTCTCTTGAGAGCTCAAGAGATAGTTCTCAAGCGTAGCAAATCGATGGGATTCAAACGCTCTCCGTTCTCTGTTCTTGTGGGTCAGTTGCATTTTTGTTGCAAACGGGGGATTATTATGTATACAACGGCCGAGTGCCATTCAGAATAAAGGGACTCAGATCAAATACGACTGCTGTCAAGAGTTTCTTCTTCCCCAATCTTAAACTGTAGTAGCATGGCTTCTGATTTTGAATTAGGGTAAAGTTGTCTTTATTTTTTAAAGAATATACTGTATTGTACACATACACTAAACGAAAGAAATTTGAAGAATGTCTCTGCTTGCAGTTTGTTTTGTCGTAAGAAGATTTGAGCTGTTTGATGTACGGTAATTCCAATTAAGTTCATTACACTCTGACAATTATTGTGAACAAGATTCTTGTAAGAGAGTATATCCAGCATGTACAGCAAGTGAATCCAGAATTGAAAACATATAACAGATGGATAAAACATGATGAGTTCTTCACGTGCTCAGTAAAGTTGTGAAGGATGACCCTGCAAACCACTTTTTGATGCCAAAGCAATCTTCTCTGTCTTAGTAAGAACACTTCGGTATCACAATGAAAATTTACTCTACATTAATGTACCTAAGTAGCGCATGCAAATTTTTTTTCAAAATGAAGATGTAAAAAAGAGGGTGTGCATCATGTAGGCAAGCTCACAGAGTGTTACTATATTTCAGAAGTTTACATCACACTGTACTCAAGTGCAGTAGTAGTGTTCCCCAGCCCGTGGTTTGCAGACCAGTGCTGGTCCACGGTAGTTTTTGGCTGGTCCGTGGGAACATTTCTTTGGCGTGATAAATTTATAGAAGGTAGTAGTGAAGCGTGTTCTGTAACTGTGTAAAATTTTGGAAAAAATGCCAGTTGAAATCATCTGAGAGAAATCAAATTTAGCTTTCCTTCTCATTACACCTTATGCTTCGGAGTTCAGACAGTATTATTTTCAGTTTTAAATCGGAGAACCCTTTCTTGAAACTCAGCTTTCTTCTTTTTTTAAGACATTCCATCAAAAAGCTACTTCTTGGTTCTTTGCCTAATTTTTGAAATATTTTTTTAATTCCTGCAATGCAAGCTTGTTTTGAGGACTTCATGGCAGGTATTTTAAAAAAATTCCTGGTCTTCAAAATTGCATGGAACTTTGCTGGCCTGCAGGAAATTGTATGACAAATTTGCCAGTCTGCAAAACATTTTGTTAAAATTTGCTGATCTGCAAACAACAAAGGTTGGGGAACACGCGCTGCTCTGGTGTAATGGACAATTTTGTACCCATTTTAGCGAACAATGAGCACAAATTGAAGATGAATTGGATCCAAATTCTGATGCACAGTATATTTTTAATGAAAAATATAATTCAGTATTGAAAATTTGGGTTCAGTTCATGTCTAAATTTCAGGTTGGGTGTTCTTATTTTTCGAAATATTTCACTTCTTTCAATATAGTCTCTGAAGATCGGGTGTGCATGCTGTTACTGAGGAATGCTATTGGATGAAAATATTTTGCTGCAACACTTGGATGCATTGTAATGCATTAGTGCAGTACTGTACTAATGCATTTTTGCATTGCGCACTGTATTTTAAAAATTCTATATGCAAAAAGTGTTTATCTTGATGAAAAAATAAATCATTAAATTAGTGTGTTACAGTAGTTTACTAACGCAGTGAATGCAGTACAGATATTTAATATTTTGGTTTCTATATTTTACTGTACTTGCAAGTGCTGGTGTACTCTGCACTTACTTTGATTTAATATTATCAAGAACAGCGAGGAACGAAAAACGCAGCACGCGGATTAGTAAATTGAGTGTATATTATTGTACCATGGAGGAAATTCAAGGGCGGGACGACTCGGTTGAAATGAGTGGACCCAGCACTTTCCGGAATGGCGGATCCCGGGTTCTGCTAACGCTGATGCTGGCGGGTTTCCGGCGCAAACACTGAAATCTCATGGGATCTGCTGGAGAACACGAGGAAATGTGTCGCAGTTTGTATCGAATCGCGTGCATGATTGCAGAAGGATTCCGAGACGTCGGCGGCGAAATGACGACCCTGGACGGATTGAGTGACCTTTGCTTGTTGTTGTTTTTGCTGCTGTTGCTGTTATCGAGGGATTCCAGAGTGCGATACATTATGCAAATGTGGGCCCTCTTTCTCAACCTTTTGTCTAGTTTCAGGATTAGGTCATCTGCTGCTGCTGGCGTCTCATCCATCATCATCATCATCCGTGCTGCTGATGAGTTTTCAGCAGTCGACCGGTCTTTTTCGTCAGTCCGAAACGATGATATGTCCGATTCGAATCTTTTTGAGAGAGATCGTCGAAATGAACGAGTGACAATTGTCTTTTGTTTTTGCATGAATCGGACGTTCGGATGATGGAACAATTGACAAAATTATAAGAATTTATCTGTATTCAGCTACTTACAGTCGATAAATATTACCTCGTCAAGTTGAACTTATTCAAGAAATCAACAACAAAAAATTTACATACAGTCAACTCCTGTCTTATCAATAATGTACCTCATTTGTGCAACGGATGAGTATGTTAGACAAAATTACTTCAGACAAATTTGCTTTTCCTGTTGGCTGTTGGTTAATGTGGTAAAAATTTTAATTTGACTGAAGTACGTTACGTTAGATAGGATGAAAAGCCACCTCCATTCAGACGAGGACCCGGTACGTCAGACAAAAATCCATCCGCCAGGAGGTACGTTAGACGGAGGTTGACTCTACTGTATATACAGTATAGGGAAGTTTTGAGTTGGCAAAACAACCCCAGTGGGGAAATTGGTGCACACTGGGGATTTGTTCATAATTCTACGCAGTGATCCTGCTGTTCACCAGAAGTGTACCAAAGTTCTTCTGTTGCACATGCATATTGTTATCCTGGAAAAGGAAGTTAGGACAACAATATCCCCGATGTGCACAAATTGTGTGTTAACACCAGGATTACTCAGGGTCACATTTGTAAACAAATAAGTTACACCAAGGTTAAAGTTGGTGCATTTGTGTGATGCTCTTGTTATTTCACATTTGGGCACCAAGTGTGACCCTGGAATGGTAGCAAAATTTCCTCTTGTAACACTTGTAACCCCAGAATATCCCATTAGTGACCATCACTCCTGGCGGTGTGCACCTATACTGTGGGGTCACAGCAAAAATAGCTCCCCACTTGGCCTGGAAGTAGCTTTGTTGGGGGGGGGGGGGGGGCAGAAGGAAATTTGTAATTGCTATACTGTATAGTGATGCTCATCTGGACCTAAAATTGCTTTTTATATATGAGTTTGTCCGGATGCTGAATTTGGAGGAAAGGGTACAATTGACCAATTAGTACTTCACTATACTTGCTCAGCACAAAATACTGTACATCAACTAAACGTTTTATTGATTTTTGATTTCCTGTGTGGTTGAAGTAACAGCCACATATTTAGCTCTGGAAAATTCGAGGTTTTGAGTTTTGAAGGGGGAATGCCTTTGAGTCATGAGGATTATATTTGTTCTTAATATGCATCCTTTCCAAGGGAATTCAGACTATATGAGGACTTGAAAAAATTCGAAATATATGCGAGGTATAATTCGAGTTATCTGAGCTGGTTCACCTGTTTGCTGCATGATTCGCTGTTTTGAACTTGGAAAGGCAATTTAAAGAGTTTTATTTTCGGAAACTGAATTTTTTTAAATCATCGAGTAGTGATGAAATTGAAAAACGTTTCTTATACTGTTATGTTGTTACTCAGGAATTGGCAGTGGACCGTATATACTGTATATATACACAGCAGTAAATTAATCCTAAGTGTACTACTTGATAAACTAGCACGACATATGGAGTTCTGAAAAAAGTCGAAGGCAGAGCGTAATAATGACGACTACTTCGACAGCAGCACACACTACAAGCAGCACTGCTGCGGTGACACGCAATTGCCGCCATCTTCAGGCGCTGTTGCAAAGCAGTCGTCGTCGTCTGATGATTTCGCACGACGAGTGATGCCCTCATCGTCGTCACGACGACGACTACGACGACATGATTCCGGCGTTGCTGGAGGTCTGATGCTGGCTGCTATACAGGTATTATTTTCATCGGCAGCATGACGACGATAATGACGGCACTTATTGTTGTGTTTGTTACTGCTGCTGCTGCGACGCCGATGACTCGTCCACTACTACCAAAACAGTAACTACCTTATTCCGAGCAGGAACAGCAGATCGGCCACAAACAAAAGGTGTGACGTAAGCATTATAACCTACCTAACCTTCTCTTTTTAACTCTTGTAGTCTGGATGACAGGAATTGGGGCTATTGTCCCTATATATGCATACAGTACGTACTGAGACCATAATGCGGACATTAAGAGTGTCCTGATGTTGGAATGTCCCTGAGTCCAGTCTCATTTTCCCTTACACTTCAATGCTGATGCATTAAATTAGCTGTCTTTTTTTTGTCAAAAATTAGAAATAAGTCCTCAAAAACTTTGAACGAAAATTGTTTCCCAGTGTTGTGGAAAACAACAGTGCAGAACAAAACCACATAGAATCTGATCTTTCGGTGTCAAAAAAGGATCAAAAAGTAAAGAAAAAGAATAAGTCTTGCTAGAATATGCACATAAAAACTCTAAAAAAAAGAAGCACAAAACAGCTTGATTTTGATTGTGAATTAGAGTGAATTTATCATTAATTTTTTTTTCAATTTTTGTGAATATAAATAGCTGCATATGTTTAAAATATATCAAAATTAAAAATGAAATGCTTTGATTTTTTGGGAAAACTTCAGAAAAGTGTTCCTAACTCAAGCCAATGTCTGCATGGATATTAGGCCTGTGTTTTTGTTTTTAAGTGTCCATAAGTTGAATTGTCTGCTGTATGTTGGGGTTTCCACAGATTGGGGTCTCATGGTATATCAAAATATCTGCATCATGCCTGGATCATAGTTTCCCATCACATACTGCATGTAGACTTCAGTGGAAACATATGTGATTGGCTATCCTATGTTCATAAAAAAATTAAGAAAATGTGACACGAACTATTGAATAAAATGTGTTTCTCCATCTGAAAATACAGAAAATAATGGTGCGAAAGAAAATCATACAGAATCTGATCTTCTGGCATCAGAAAAGGATCCGAAAAAGCCAAGAACCAAATGCAAATCTATATTGTTACACACTGCTGTGCAAAGGTGTTGGATGAAACTGAAAAAATAAGCACAAAAATATGCTGGTTTGGATTTTGGAATAGAGTAAACTTCTAAAAATATATATTTGTGAATATAAATAGCTCAATTTATTGTTCAAAAGATACCCAAATGTTGAAAAAAATAAATTTCTAGAAATGATATGGTTAATAAGTGCCCATATCTCGAGACATTGTCCAGAATTCGGGGCGTATTTGTTCAAGATTCAAGTATCCTGTAACATCTGCAGCATAAATACATTAGTTTGTGTATCACCAGAGCACCTTCTCTTCTTATGTCCAGCATTTCATACTGACAGAAACAAGCTTAAGAAAGATTTACAAGTACATGGAATTCAATCAAGAGACCCTTTCTGAAATTTTAAAGGCTCAAGATAAAGAGATAAACTGTTGGCTTTATTTGATTTCTCATCAAAGATTCTCTCTAATTTGTTCATTTAACTAAACCGCATACAGAAACAAGCTTTAAATTAATTTTAACCTTGTGCTTTAAATTAATTTTTACATATATTTTGTTACCAATGTCAGGGAATGAATGGGTGTATGCATACTTGTCTGATGTCCAATTGTAACTCATGTTGTATTGTATTTTCTTACCAATGTCAGGGAATGAATGGGTGTATGCATACATGTCAGATGTCCAATTGTAACTCATGTTGTATTGTATTTTCTTTAATTTTTTTTGTTATCAATTTGTGCTATCCTGCTCTGAAGTGATTGAATGTCATTGAGTGGAATCGGGTTGGGTGGGAAGGGGGTTTGGTTGTGGAAATCTTGATTGAACTTTGTGAACGCTGAAAAGCAGCAAATAAATTGTTATGTTCATTCATTCATTCAAGTATCCATGTACTGTATATGAATTTAATTGTGTGTATGTCATTGGGGCATCCATAAGCTGGTCCATGTAATAGTGTACTCTATAAGAATAAGAATTTTGTTTCCTATTTTATTTATTTTCATATTATCTTCCCTTTTTTGACAAACCACAAACTCCCACAAATCTCACAAGGAAATGTTGGTGGCTTATCAAGATTTGACTGCATAACGGACTAATTTTCCTCTATTGTGTTGCTATGAAAAATTGTTAATGCAGTAATGCATCAAAAATTGTTGCACTGATTATGCTGCAAAGAGACATTGAAGATGATGTTGTTGGTTGGCCGTAAAATTCAGTTTTATACGTTGATGATGAATACAACAGCTGAAATATATGATGAAGCTCCTGATTGTGGTGGTGCTGATTGATATTCAGACCCACAGCAGCAGCACCCATCATCATCACCACCATAATTAATATGAGGATTTCAATAATTCAATGTTTATATAGTACAGTACAGGATGATGATGACCTATCTACGCACTTTTCGACACCAATTGGAAGACGGTCGAGATGAGGTTCTCTGTGGAGTCGACGACCGTCTCCGCCCGGGTCTGATCGCGAAGAAGCTAGACGCGGTGCTGGACCAGCTACTGGAGGAGGTGGTGCCGAGAGTGCTGGCCCAGGCTGTCCAGGTAGCCCTGAGCTAGACTACTGGGCAGGGCAGCGACTACTTGATGACCTCTTGTTGCTGCTACGACAACTGCTGATGCCCGACGATCTCCTCGGTCTCGCTCTGTAAATGCAGTATACATGTACAGTATACATCCAAGCCATAATAATTAAGGATATTTATGCATTATATGCATATATGGGTTGTCTTGTCTGCATCGGACGATGACATGCTTTTAAAGCACTGTAGATGTGAATGTTGAAAGAAATCATGACATATAGTCCATAAACCGTGTATAATGTTCCAAAATTCTGAGATATTTTCTGGATCTAAGCAAAAATTTATATTCACGGCATTTTCATGGATGAGAAAAAACTTTACATCAGTTATTACATTCAGCCAGAAGTTCTCCACTCATGTGAATAAACCGTGAACTGTTTTCACTGCATTTCAATTTATCTAAAATCACAGAAAGACAGAATATATTTGATTTTCGCACATATTCAAGTCAAGTGGTGGCCCAGACTAGCGCTTCTTCGATCTGCGCCACGACCTGGTCGATGACCTCCTCCACCACGGCTCTCACGACCGGGTCCGACAGGTCCATCGGGACTCGATCTGATGACCCGTCCCGTCGCTGATGAGGATGACCTCTTGTTGCTGCTGCTACGACAACTGCTGATGCCCGACGATCTCCTCGGTCTCGCTCTGTAAATGCAGTATACATGTACAGTATACATCCAAGCCATAATAATTAAGGGTATGTATGCATTATATATGAGGGTTGTCTTGTCTGCATCGGACGATGACATGCTTTTAAAGCACTGTAGATGAGAATGTTGAAAGAAATCATGGCATATAGTCCATATACCGTGTATAATGTTCCAAAATTCTGAGATATTTTCTGGATCTAAACAAAAATTTATATTCACGGCATTTTCATGGATGAGAAAAAACTTTACATCAGTTACATTCAGCCAGAAGTTCTCCACTCATGTGAATAAACCGTGAACTGTTTTCACTGCATTTCAATTTATCTAAAATCACAGAAAGACAGAATATATTTGATTTTCGCACATATTCAAGTCAAGTGGAAGAGTGAATCAGTTAAGGGATAAGTGAAATGAAGTACTTTCAAGGGTTCACTTCGGATGTGTCTGAAGTCCTCAATTTTGAAGTTATGGCACAAAAAGTTGCTTGAATCACATGAATAAAGAACCCTTTTATAGAAAATCTGGAGGGAGTTTCAACAAATGTATCCACATGCTCACCTGATAAATTGTTGGCAAGCTAATGTACACTTGATCTTTGCTGGCAGGGTTTATTATTATTTTTTTATTGTACAACTGTTACTCCTGTTGTGCAATGCGGTACAGTGCATGTGCTGTCAATAAGGTTAATCACAGTTGAAATCTGATAACTCAAACCTCCTTATAAATTGAATTTGTTTTCCAGTCCCTGTCTGAATCCCCTTAGAAACCTCCCTAACTCAAAGGCATTTCCTCTCAAACTCCGTAAGTTGAATTTTCTGAGGCCTTTTGTCTACTGTTTTCTTGAAAAGGAAAGAGAAAAGCAATGCAATATGGAATTTGATGCGTTTTGCAAGGGATGAGTCAACAACAAGATTTGTCAAATGGACCTCCGCCTCCAATAAGTTCCGCACACCCTGCCAACTCATTTTAGAATCAATTTAAGGCCCAGAATGTAACCATTTATGATTTCCTGTAATTATGTTATGTTTCAGACAACAAAAAAGCTTGCTTCAAAAACTCAAACCTCTATAACCCAAAACCTTTTAAACTGAATTGTTTTGCTGGTCCCTTGAAACCTGAAGTAGATAGGTTTGACTAATGTACAAAAATCAATACCTTCTGTTTGAATCATAAGCTACAGCAAGTTATAGTTACAGCAGCAAGCCAGTGTTGTGGCAACTTAAAATTGTGGTGACTTCAGGCTGCAGTCACTTATGCAGCAGTGGCAGGTTAGGTGCTGGTGGCAAGTTTGAGTGCAGTGAATTGCACCTGCACCCATAATCATGTGTCAATTCAGAAAAAAAAATTTTCACAAATTATCGTGAGCATGGGCATGTGATTCTCAGTAATAACTGAATGATTTCCCAAGAAATGAACCCTATAAGTTTTTCTGATTTTCCTATATTTCTCATTCAGAAGAGGAACTTTTCATTTAGGAACTAAGTGAGTAGAGTACAGTATATTAATTTACCTAATCCTGGCTTTTTCCTCAAGCAGAACAATACACAAGTGCTGATGTATATACTGTACCTCCTGATGCGGTCGAGAACCGCCGCGGGGTGAACGTGGAAGCGGCCATTCGGGAATGCCGCCGTCAGGATGGCGTCGATGGCCAGGAAGGAAACGGCGCAACCCGTCAAGAAGGCGCCTCCGACTGCGATCCCCGACAAGAACTGCGATGCCGCGGATCGCAGGCTGTTCATGTCGCCTGCTGCAGCACAGCTGATACTAATGATGACGCTGATGATGACGATGGATCCTGATACAAACAAAATCCACCATTGAATGTGTATATACTGTATATGAGATGGTACATATATAAAGAACACGACCTCAATAAAAAGACTTTTCAACTGTATGGACAAATTCTTGTGAACATATAAATAAAGAGGTATATATAAGTCTTCACACATAAGTGGACGAGTCTTTTCTGATAAGGGACGGTAAATACACAGTACTGTATGTATATGGCTTCAGCATTTTGTACAGTCCAATTTTATCAGGACAAAAAATAAAATAAATTTAGAAAGAAATCCGCTCTGTATATTGTTCAATTTTACTGAAGTTTCTGATGATCCAGTTTTGTTATCTGGGTATTTATTGGAGGGAATGAATAAAATCGGGCTGCTTTCCATAAACAATGCTCCTGATAATTGTTGTGTTCTTTGAATTATAAGTCTGCATACTTGACATTGTATTGGAAGCTAACCTGCATGGGAAACTGTTGATTCAAAAAAAATTTCGATACAGTTCTAAAATTCTGCTGAAAATGTATATGTAAAAAACTCAGTGATCGGATTTTTTCATTCAACCCTTCCCATTTTAAAAATGGCAGAAAATATACTCTGAAAATAATCTTATGGGATAAATAACCCTTTCCCAGAATTTCATGAAAAATAGTCAAAACCGAATTTAGTGCCTTCATTTTTTGGCCCTGACACAGTTTGCAACGCTAAATTGGGGGTACTGTATCAGAAGAAAATTTAGTCAAGTGCTTCTACCACAAGGGTTTGCTTGCAGAATTGTTGGCTCTTATTCAAGTGTT